AATTACCGATCAAACATATGAGAAACGTACAGAAATAACCTAATATAAGTGTGTTGTATGTTTCACCGGATCATCTCAGATATATCTTAGAAGTGTTATATCTGATCTACATTCGCTCATTTATCATTTAGTATAGCTTATTTTGACATAAGTACCTATGTCAAAAGATCTATAAACATCCGAACTGAATGATTTTGTAAATCAACAACATCAACAGTTTTAACCACACGCTAGACGCACAGCTATTTATTGTAATCAAAACTATTAATTCAGTGACGACAATGCACGATATCGCTAGCTGCAATCGAATACTATTGTTGACGGTAGCCTTCGTACTGACCTCTGCGTTACAAACGACCTCACTAACAAATAATAAATACACTACAAATTCACACGTACACACACGCGCTTACCAATTTCTTTTTATTAACACTAACAAATCAATTTTCACACTTAGCAGAACGTTTCAAAGTGAATAAACATTCATCGGGACATTGTATACTAAATAAAATTGATTACCGAATTGGATTATTACTAACTTTTTTTTTAATTCAACCAAATGAAATCGTACTTGTAAAGTGCGCTAAAATTGCTCATTCACGTCTAGTTTTTCTTAATAAAACAGCTAAAACCTTTACGAAATATAGTTACGATAGAACTTATGCATATGTCATTGGTTGCAGTAGTAGAAATAGTAAGATCAGGCTCGGATTACGTCATTGGTTGCCGACATCTATAATAGTGGCAATTTCATTACTTTAATTAATATGGCGAGAGAGACTGGTCAAGGAACTTAAAGCGGTGCCGTACAGTCTATACTAAAAGACCAGTTTATGTTGACCCTTTATAAGACTACAGTTAGTATTAATTAAAATAGAAAAATGATTTTATTCCAATTCACGAGGTTTAAATAGAACGAAGTCGCAACGAACAGATAATATAAAAATGTGTTTATTCCTTAATATTATAAAGGCCTAAGACAGAGCGGTCTTTGTAAAAAAAAAAAAAGTTGCCTTATTAAAAAAATCTTCAGAGCAAATTGATACGTGTCCGACAGAAAGCAGTCTTTTTATCCGGTTAGAAGGATAGTTTTTTTTTTTCGTTAATATGCACGTCGACGCATCTTGGGCGGTAGCCGTCTAGCAGTCTAGCTCAGTCGCTAGTGATTACTATGCGCGCTGTGAGCCAAAGTGCGTGAACGCGCAAATTACGTGCAGAATAGTGCGTTCACTCCTTAGAAACTGGTAATCTCATGTAATATTGATGAATGCCTTATTCGACGCACGCAACTCAATGATTTTTTATTTATTTTTTTAAATACAACGTAAAACTTTCGTTTTCAAACTAAATCTTGTATTTTAGTTTGCGTGACCGCAGCGATTTCGACAGATTGGAATCCAGCCAATTTGATATAAGAAGTAGTTTATAATGAATTTTATAAGTCGCACAACGACGACCTGTGGATGATAATAAACTTGGATAGTTGCCTGACAGACTGATAATAAATTATTAAAAAATTTAATTCGTAGTTGATATTTTTTATGAATGTAAAACTAATCATTTATTTAGGTCCTATGTGCGTCCGCTGGTTCATCCAGCATCATATTTAGTATAAATATTCTAAATACTGAAATAGGAGTTCCGCTAATAATGCCATTTCAAATTTCAAAAAAAAAATTTTTTATTGCCCTTGTAGGCAGACGATCTATATTTTTCATACGGCCCACCTGATGGTGAGTGATTACCGTCGCCCATGGACTTCAGCAATGCCAGGGGCAGAGCCAAGCCGCTGTCTACCGCTAACAACGGGGTCAAACATAGGATAGCACTAAAAAGTATCATAATATAATCTATAACAGACACACTTCTGTAACAGTAAGTAGGGTTTAAAGTCGTAAATCCCAAGAACAGATAAAATCCGGCTAAAATATACAAGGCATGTTTCTTAACGTACCGGCCGTCGGCTTTTCGGCTCCAGCTTTAGTCTTCGTGCTCGTAAATACACGTTGCTCACGATAACGAGACACGTAAGGAGGGACGCCCCGAGCCGCACTGATTCATATTACCCTAACAATAATATAGCATGAAAATTTATAGTATGCAATTGGAACAACAGATACGTCAACGAATAGACAACTACAGCTCTAACACTAGGAGCAGACTTAGGGACCCCGGTAACCATACTCGTCGAACTCGACAAAGAGTTCGACGCGCAATCTAACCGCATCAGCCCGCTGAGTTTCTCGCCGGATCTTCTCAGCGAATCACGATTCCGATCTGGTAGTAGATTAATTCGCGAAGAAGCTGCTCTTGAGTTGTTAGGTCTCTTAGGAGGCGCTCGGGCAGCTGTTAGCAAATCCCACCCCTCCTGGTTGAGCTTTTGCTCGCCTACCTGTTCTAGTGAAACTGGAAAGGCCTCCGGGCCACCAGTAATCCTTCAATCATAAAAAAGTGAATGTGGATTTTAGTATATTCGCTCATATTACCTACGTATTTAACCGAATAAATAGTTCAACGCAAATCAAAATAAATTCTTGTTCTGTTTAGTAATATCGCAATTAAATAAAGAAACTATCAAAAACACCGACTCAAATAATGCCGATCAATCTGAACCGATAAAATTAATATTCATGGCTATTAATAAATATCACAGTGATTACGCATTTCTGTATCGTATCAAAAGTAGTACAGGCAGACACCATTTTCCCCTTCACATGGTACCTACGAGGCTTTGAAATGTAGAACGCAAATTCATTTTCTAGTACGAGATACGCATTCGAAGCGTTTTAAATCATTACGAACATGATTAAAGATACTTAATGTACGGTATAATTGTATAGTAATCTATGGTGTGGGTAATTACAGAGATGGAGTTGAATTTAGTCTCTGGGCCATAGACACGTTTTTCTTTGTACGCAAAGGGATTCGTGGATTTTAAATACAATGGATATTTTTTTACGGTATTTTTTTTTTACTGTCAGACAAGCGAGTGATCTATACCTATCATTAGCAATGTGCTAATGCCCTACCCGTATAGCAATGAACTCCCCTCTACGATGTTTCCCGAGCACTATGACCATGTCCTTCTTCAAACGAGGCTTGTGGAGAACATTAAGCGGTAGGCTTGGCTCTGCCGCCGGCATTGCTGAAGTCCATGGGCGACGGTAACCACTCACCATCAGGCGGGCCGTATGCTCGTCTCCCTACAGGCACACGTTACAATCCGCACTTTTTTATTGCTGTCGAAATCACTAATCAGATGCGTTCGTGTCCTTAATAACAGTTACCATCGTTCATAGACATACACAATTCTAAGGCGCTTCTCTGAGGCCCTAAATGCGGCCCTGCTCTACGGTCAAGCCGCCTCATTTGATAGCCGCACTATATTTACTCTTTACGACAGTTCGCTCCGCATTAATCGTCGTCCACTCACTTTACACTTAACGCCGGGTGGCCGGGGCCGGTTCCAGTTAAGCCTGAATTAAGGCGAATTCCTAACGTGCTCTCTTTTTTTTATTGCTTAGATGGGTGGACGAGCTCACAGCCCACCTCGTGTTAAGTGGTTACTGCAGCCCATAGACATCTACAACGTAAACGCGCCACCCGCCTTGAGATATAAGTTCTAAGGTCTCGGTATAGTTACAACGGCTACCCCACCCTTCAAACCGAAACGCATTAGGTATTGTTTCACGGCAAAAATAGATGGGGTGGTGGTACCTACCCGCGCGGACTCACAAGAGGTCCTACCACCAGTAAGACCTCTTTCGATATTTTTCATAATTTTAAATTAGAATACGGAATTACGGAATATTATCATACACTAGAGTGTTTAATTGCTTGTCTTGTTTGCGCAAATAAATTTTCGACTTATCAATGGCTAATCAACTTAGCAATCCTTTATTAAATCATTCAGATATTTTTCTCGTCGGCAGCCAAACCGCGTATATTTTCGTTTCATTAAAACGCATACCAAACTTCCCCTTAAGTGCAAGATAAAGGCTAGTCGGCGCGCACCAAAAGCGGGATTGCGCGTAATCGCTTCGCGTTGCAACACCTGGCTATCAAACGGTCTTGCCGCCTATTAATCCTCGTAACACTTCCGATATTCTCGTGTCGACATAAATTATTCGGACGGCAGCTAAATAGTTCAATGTTTAGCAACGATTTGCTATCTCTGACTCAGAGCAGCGGAGTCGAAAGGCGAGATCGTCTTTAAAACTTTGACCTCGGGGTAACAGCTGAACCGTTGTCAATAACTCGACGAAAAACACAAAGCTCGTATTGGTTAAAGTCGAGCCTTGTAATAATAAGTGTTAATAGTAAATATATTGCGGTAGGCAGCGGCCTGGCTCTGCCCCTGGCATTGCTGAAGTCCATGGGCGACGGTAACCACTCAACACTCACTCCTGGGCACCGGAAAAAAATCCGCCCCAATGGGATGTTACCTAAACTTATAGTTTATATATTTTATTTTTCAAAATTATTATAACTAATTTATTGCGGAAACTGTATCATAAAATGGGTCATATATTCCAAAAACATAAATAAATATTTGTTTTTTTTTCTAACAATTATAAATTTTGACTAAGGGTGATTCATAATTTTAATACATAAAAAAAACTAATTAAATTTCTTAAATTACAAAAAATAGAAAAATCGATAATTATTTTAAATCTCCAAGGAAATAAATTGATTAAATCATTTTGATTATTAATTTTTACCAAAAGTGCCAAAACTATAATTCACAAATAATGGATGAACTGAATTTCTTGAATTATCAATTAAAAAGAAAACTATTAATTATTAGAATTAATTATTTATATTGAGCAATCTCGACGAGACTAAAAAAAAAATTACATTCAAAATTTTGCCGCCCTAGGCACTTGCCCCGACTGCCCCTAGTGTAAATTCACCACTGAGTGGGCCGTATGCTGCTCCTCTGCTTACAAAGGCAATAAAAAAAAAAAGATTTAATAATGTTTAAATAATTATTGTTGCAGATGCATCTAAGTTCAGTCCAGTTCGCGTGGGCCGCACTGGTAGCGCTGGCGGTGAGCGCGGCGGGAGCTCTGCCCTCGTCGGCGCCGCACCACGTGGAGCGTCGCTCCTTCTTCACCCTCGAGTGCAAGGGGGTCTTCGATGCGGCAATATTCGCGCGTCTCGACAGAATCTGCGACGACTGTTTCAATCTCTTCAGGGAGCCTCAACTGTATACACTTTGCAGGTCAGTTACTAATCAAAATACCCTCTATAAAAAAAAAATGTGACGTTTTTCAGTTTCCCGTTAGCAAAATGGCGCTGTTAATTTTTACATATTCCATAAACAAGTCGAATAAGATAAATGTTTTTTTTTTTAATTCTAATACAGCAGCCATCTCGGGTTTCATTCGTATTGATGTTAATGTTTTTATTCCATTTTGGGGCACAGGAAAGACTGTTTCACGACAGATTACTTCAAGGGTTGCGTGGAGGTGCTACGCGAGACTGACCAATTAGACTTATTCAAGAAATATATAAAACAAATACACGGGGCTGACCCGGGGATTTAGGTACATTATGGTTTTGATAATTATCTTTCCTATGCACTACTTAACTCCACTTTCTAAGCTTAACGATTTAACAGCACGCTGGTATCTTATTGATTTTTCTAACACTATTTTTCGGCACTTAACAAATCAGGTATGTATTGGCAGCACTTTTCTATTCTGGCAACACAAAATGATACATTTAAAAAAAGTTCAACATTATCGATTGTAACAGATAAATGATAACTATCTAGTAATTTGAACAATTTGTAAAGAGAAATATCAATATTTTTAAAGATATGCTATAACACTGGCGCCATTGTGACAGTGTCAAATAGATATGAAATTTTATCTTTGGAAAGACCGGATTTTCAATATTTATATGTTTTATTTTCTAGCATATCACATTATTTTCTAAAATACATTTATAACTAAATATAGTTTTAGATTGTTCTTAAAAAAAGAATTGTTAATTTAAAGTTCATATATTGAATGTATTTCCATATGTGTATTATTATTTTTTTGAGAAGTTTTGTAGTTATTTTATTGAAAACTTTAGTCAATACAAATTTAAGTTAGTAAATATATAGGTATGTATTGAAACTAATAATCGCATGTTCTTACAGTATGTAATCCGCAAATGATTTTCAGACAACTTTATATTTTATTCATACTTTTTCTATTTTGTCTGATGCATGTTATCTGATATTTTCCGATCTTCAAAATTATTTCTTTTACATTTATTTTTAGATTTATCTAGTCATTAATGATCGATAGTAGTCTAACTTGATCGTCAGTAACATGATTTATTGTTTCCTGAATTTCGCCTACAAACAACTTTATTTTCTCTTCAATCTATCCGCTTATTTACCCTTTTCAAAATTGAACTATTATTAATGGAAATAAAGTCTTATTTTGTATAATTAATTTCACAGGGCGGAATGCTTTACAACACCCTACTTCAAGGGATGCATGGAGTCTTTGTACCTCTACGACGAGAAAGAACAGATAGATCAAATGATCGACTTCGTCGGCAAACGCTAACGCACACAGCCAAAATTTTCGCGCCAACAGTCAACTGTCAAAAAATTTGACATATAACCCGACCGCGTTCAAAAACCCGGTAGCCATTAAACAAAAAACGCAACGGTATACACAACTTCACCGCTTTGCATAAAGCAGAGACGAATAAAAAATGCCAAGTTACAATTTTGACGTCTGCTTTCTATCCTCAACGTATTCTAGTCTATATGCGACGTAAATTTAATTATATTTACGTACGCAACTAATTGTAATGTTATCGTAAGTATTGTATAGGACATATTATGTATTTTATTAATATTATGTGTTATTAAGTGTTGTAAGCTTTTTGAGGGAGTATAAAGTACATTCAAGGTCACCTCCTAGGTATTACTAAAATAAATAAAACTAAACAATTTGAGACAGTCACATTCTGGTTTCGATGCTGGTCATCCTCTTAAATCTGTCTCGTTAAAATTCCGACTGAGATTTTTCACAATTTTTTTTTATATTATAATAATTGAAACGCATTCCAAACGCAGTATTTTAAATTATTAGTGTATTTTTGACAATTTCATTTGTTAGGCACAGTCTCTTTTGGTATTCATGTAAAAACCTTTAACCTTGTAGTTTAATTAATTTAAAATTCACTCAAGTGGCTTGTATTAATGACTGTTAGTTACGTTAATCGCCTTTATTAGTTTAAAACACATTACATCTTATTTAATTTCATTTTTCGTTGTGAACGTTCGACATCTTGCTTCCTTTCGAGGGCATAGACAATCAATCATGTTAAATTTACATAATCGATCTTGACCGACGTCGACTCAAAAACGATACCAGTGACGTCCTGTGTAACATCTATAAGCTTGATCGGTCTAAGATCGATTGAATTTATTACACACAAAAATAAATTAGATACTAAGTATTTAAAAAAAAAAAAGATTTATTTTTATATACTTTCAAACTATCACATTGTTACTCTTTTATTTATTCGTATTTTTATATAATTGAGGGTTCCAATGTGTACCCAGTCTGTAATGTATTTCTCTTTTTACGTACATATAAGTTGCGGTTTATACTTACTTTGAAGTGTATTTTAGTTCACAATCTTCCTTCTCTGTTTTAGAATCTCATAAATTTAGTATTTTTTTTTTTTAATTTTTTTTTCATCTAGCGTTTCTTAATTTGAATAAACTATGTCGCAATCTTTGGTTCATGGATCATCAAGCCATATCCGTGGCCGATTTATCGAATACAAAAAAAAAATGTATTAAAAACGGTGCCAATGTGTCCAGACTAGTTAGTTAGTATAATTATTATGTAATCACAAAAATGTTACTTGTATATTGAAATTTATTAATTGTATTCAAAAGAAATTGTATTTAAAATGTATATTAATGTAGATGAAAATTTTTGTATTTGACTTGATTGAATTGAAAAAATTGAAAAAAAAATTAATAATAATAATCAACCAACAAGAAACGCTACGGGTTCTATTGAAATATATACGTAATTCCTTTGAAAAATCAATGTTTTTTTTTTCTAATCCCCCGCAGATTCTACCTTATCTGATGACGTTTAGCATCACATGCTAGCTGCAGTATCCGTTTATCATTGCACGTTTTAAGCGCGTGAACACACTGAATACACAAAAGCGTGTGTGTATAAATACATACACTCGTAATATTGAGATATTTGTCACTTTTTGCAGGTTATGATTTAGTATATCGTCGCTGTCAAACCAAAATCTGATATGTGCAAAAACTCTATTTGGAATTAACGAGTAAAAACATTTTCATATACAATTTTATATGAAGGTGAATTTTTAAGAATTATATCAAAATATGAAAGCTATAGACAAATAACAGTTTTTTTATACGGTAGATAGGGCTGTGAACTATACGAAAAGGTCAAAATGTAAAAATCTCAAAAAGTGCACATGATATAGCAGATTTTGGTTTGACAACGACGTGATCTTTAATTTATAAATTAATATAGTGTTCACTTGTGCAGTTGTGATATTATGTCGTGAATTTGTGAAGTATGTAGCCTACTTATTATATATAAAGAGGTAATTGTTAAGACATAAAAAAAAGGATCCCACACATAAATTCCAATGTTCCAGTATATTGTTGTGGCGGCAGCCATCACAGAACACAAGATTTGGCAAATGCCTGAATATCGCTTACGACATTTTCAAGATAAGCTTGCATATTATTTTAAATAAGTTCCGAACAACAACAACATTTGGAACGCTCTGGGGACGTCCTCACGGATCCATCAGTGTGGTTAGTGTGAGTTTTTTAACGTTCTCGATAGCGTAAAAGTTACTCAAATTTGTATGCAGTTGGAACAGCGCCCCTAGCGGCAAACGTAGACAAACGTTCCAAATACAAATTTGATTCAACTTTTACGCTATCGAGAACTTTAAAAAACGCGCACTAAGCGCAGAAATCCCATATCTCTTGCATTCAACGCCTTCAGCTCTAACACTCAGGAGCAGGCTTAAGGACTTTAGTAACCGCTGACTACTCCCCGAATCCTGATCACGCAGGAGCAAGTCACCGTCGTCGCCCTAGACACGTCCTTACGGATCCATCAGATCCAATAACTCCAATTGCATTAGATACCTTCAGCTCTAACACTAGGAGCAGGCTGAGGAACCCCGGTAACCGTACCCGCCGAATTCGGCAAAGAGTTCGACGTGCAACCTAACCCATGCATCAGCCCGCTGAGTTTCTCGCCGGATCTTCTCAGCAGATCGCGATTCGATCCGGTACTAGATACATTCGCGAAGCAGCTACCCTAGAGTTGGTAGGTGTCCTCCGGAGGCGCTCGGACAGCCGTTAACAACTCCCACCACACCTGAAATCCGAAAGGCCTTCGGAAGGACATTCGGATCGTCGGTCTATCGAGGAATTTCACCCGCTCGGTGGAAGATCTACCCTACGCCGTTATTCCCACATGGTGAAGTTTTTTTTCTAGTTAAAAAGAAAATCCTCTATTTTTAGCTTTTCAGGGATGATCGTTTCGTAATGATTCGACTCGGTGGTGCAGTAGTTTGCGTCAGTTCCTGTTGCGCCGAGGGTCGCGAGTTCGATTCCCATATCGGGCAAACATTCGTAATGAACAGATTTTTTTGCTTTCAGCTGAGTGTATTTGTTTTTGTTTATTTATTTACATCAAAGTTGATTTCGCAAAAACAAAATTTAATTCAATTTAATGCTGTTTGTAACCGTAGAAACGGATTTACAAAATTAAGCACAGGTTACTACTATGTTAGAGTCATAGAGGCACATTGTTGGAATTCAGCTTAGAGAAACATATTAATTTCTATCTCAATATTTTATTTTATTTTTATCTGACATTAGACTTCTATGAAAACTACTAAAACTACATATAAATTTTACATATAAAAAATAAAATAGGGATGATAATTTAATAAGGATTTTAGGAATAAATCAAATCTCATAAATTATTCTATATTTTTCATACATTCTATATAAATATTTATTTATAAAAAATGATACGATACATATCACAGACAACATTCAACTAAACTATAATTTTCTAACCAAAACACAGTAGTGGTTCACTTCATTTCAGTCCACAGAGGTAATTAGAATCAATTATATTATAATAGGACTTCATTTTGAAAGAGGAAGTCGCCTTATATTGAATCTAACCCCACCTCATATTATCATGCCTTTCAAACCACTATATAGTAACATTTACTTGGCGATGAAAACAAGCAGTACTGTGGTACCAAACCCTCCAAGGTCTAACACAGTCAGGATATTAAAAAAAAACTTTTTATTTACTACTAATTTACTAATTCTAAATGAAAACTGGAAGAATTCATTTAACTATTATCACGTAAGAATAATGGTATTTTTTCGATATATCAAATGTCAACTCTCAAATAACATTGATGTTGGCAACACCTATCTCATTTTTTGTAACGTTATTTTTAGTTTAGCATAAAATATTTTTACCATATACAAAACCCAAAAAAATAGATTGTAACGGTCTATGGTATTTTACTAAATTCTTCTATATTCCAAATTCAAGCATCAGTGCCTGTTTGACAAAATTGACGAAAAATACTTTACAAAAAATAGGTTTGTCTTTTAAGGCTTCAACACACTTTTAAGGCTTTAGAGTGAGATAAAAACTAAAAATACACGCTTTATCAAGAATCAATGTTTTCTGCACCAGGACCTTAATCCAGCTAACAGAAGTTTCTTAAGATGTTGGTCAAAAGCTTACGCTATACACCGCCACACCTATCGGGACAACGATAGTTCAATCAAAGCCCAAGCGTTTTAGTAACTTATATTTTTTCCCTTCACGAAGTTCTTCTCCTGAGGAATAGTGATATCAACCGACACTGCCTCAACGCCTAGACTGATCTATTATGACGATATCAGAATATCAGAATATTATAAGGGACAATAAACTTATTCTTGATAATAATAGATTGATTAAGCAAAGCTTAACATGGCCTTTTTCAAGAGCTGGCTGAGGTTGATATTGGTTTTAAGATACAGTTGAATCGACAATATTTCAAGGCAAGTGGTTGATAGACGGTCCTAGGCACTTGGTTTTGTCTACACAATCATATACTTGCCACCATCAAAACGAGAACAACCAGAAACAATGCCAAAAGAACTCGCCTTGACGGTGGTATTACGAAAGAATGTCAACCGTTCCAATCATGATGATTGGGTGGATTTCCTTCATAATTGTAAAAACGAAACACTTAGTTTCATTTAAGGGGTTACTGGGCATAACATGGCCACAGAAGCTGCAACAGCTAGGTCAGAATGTAGAACAGACCAATTCTATATTCTGATTAAGTATTTATTAAAAATAACTTAATTTCGTTTTATTAAGAACTTTAATCAGTTTACTGCACGGGCGCGCCAGCAGAGTTCATCAATCCTCATTGGCTTACTACAGAAAATCTCTGGTGCGACTTCAATAAGTTTTGTATATAAACACACATTTGAACGTGGATAGAATACCAGAGATATGATTTTGTATAATGGAAACTTCGCTGATTTCATTAATCTCCAATGAACGTTTCCACCTTATTTATAACTATTCATATATGAAATGATCAATCGATTAAAAATTATTATTTTTTATTTAATATTTACGACCAACGGGTTTTGTCAATAGCCGTGACGGCATTATGTCGCTGAGATAAGATGAGCAAATTATTAAATTTTGACAACGATTTGTCAAATAAATAAAAAATCAGTTTTGACAACAAACTGAAAAATAAAATGGCGTCTAATGCAATATTTATTTTCAAACAGTCTTTAATCATTTAGTTAAAAATATATATTTGCTTTTATTAATACACTATGACACTTTAAATTCTTTATACAATACATTCGGAACCATTGTTCTAATATTTCTTATTTAAAAATCACAGTTGACTGGTTTCATTGAGATTATAAAAATACTATATCACTCTTTTAGCTTTTTTAAACTACTCATGTACGAAAGAAACGGAAATTAATTAGCTAATGATATGGCAACACTAATCTGTCAAAACACAAAATACTATGATTTAGTGGGAAATGTTAGGATTCTTGTGAACGTACGTTATTCGCTTTAGAAGAATCATTCAGACATGTAAAACTACCTTTACAATTTAATCTTGCGATTTGTATTCTCAATATATCTAATATTATTTTCGACATTATAAATCATTTACAGTTTCCGTGGTCGAATAAGACTGAGCTGCATCTGTCGAAATTTGAACATTATGTTGACTACCGTCAAATTTTTTGATCAAGGTATCAAACTATTGAAATAGTTTTATTTATATTTTGACCATTCCTACTTGAGGCCATTCAGAACTATAATCCAGCTCATACCACGAGGCCATAACGATTCCAAATTCTAAGGTTTGTTATTGTTTTATAGTCAATATAATTAAACATACTATTATATATACACGATAATCTAAATAATTTCGAATACGGGATGTGTCTATCGGAAAATATTAACATAAAAAAATGTGAGCATGTTGCTTACAATACATATAGATATTTTGCGTTAGTGTCAAAAAGGAATGTAATGAAGTGCCAATTGAATACCATGCGAGTTTGTGAAAGAAACCGCCTTCCGCCTAGGCGATGGGGGCGGTAAGCAGCGGGTACGGCGAGCGCCTGTGACCTCTCTTGGGCTGGATTTATATCAGTGTCTCTTGTATGTACGTGTGGCGACTCACTTATCCGCCGCTACTTGGGCTACCGCCTTACAATTCGTCTAAATCGCTGTCGCTTGTGATTTTAGACCATCACCAATTATTGTTGTTCAAAACACGTTCGGGGATATATCGATAATCTTGGAAACTGCGAGCAGTACATATTCATACTCACTGTTTTACCCATCCTTCGTGTCAGTGCCTACCCAATACAGTTAGTGAAGCAGCACTACTAACTACTGCTTCTACATATGTAACTGAGGGAATGTAGGTACATTTTACAATGGAATATTTTAGTCAAACTTTCATCAACTTCAAATAGTAATTGTGTTATCGTCATTAAATCCGCAAATTTCTTGTATACCGGATAACAATACAATAATACTGTACCATTGAGCCGAACACAGGCTGATTTCGCGATGTCGATTTTGGATACCCATACTAAGCACGCATTGTACTCGGCATACGCTCTCAATGCACGTCGTACATTACGGTTTCTCTATTAACAATTAAATAACTTTTGATCGATGATCAATTTTAAATAAATTTATTGTCGTTTGTGCAATTCACACTAACGGAACACTCATAGTATTTCACATTTACCGTGCTTTGGTTTAATTTTAAATATTACATATCGACGCTTGAAAGGCAATCCTGACTAAGCGACAAAAGTATGTAAAATGAGTTAGATACACCATTGGAATCGTCTGATTTTTCTGCGTCATTTAGTATAGGTTTCATCACTCTGTGACGTGTTTTATGTCGCTTAGATATGGTGTGATTTTCATAAAAATGCAGAGTTTTTTCCTACCAAACGACAAAAAAAAAGTTATTTTAGAGACATCCTGCAGTTAGGACATTTTAATAATAAGGTATTATTTACTTAGTCAGTTATTCATGTTTTTAAATTTTCATTTGTTTGTATTTATTTATTTTTACTTGTTATGAAATTTTTCTTTGAAACCACTTAGTAGATTGTACCTATACAAAGTAGTCGTAATTGGTACAGTTATACAATTTAACCTGAAACAAAATGGAATAATATTGAATCTTAGATAGTTTTACTTGTTTAACATAATATCCCTTTCCATCCGTAAATATTTTTACATGACAACATTTCTAATAACTACGTCGCCTAGATAATTTTACTTGATTAATTTCAATGGTTACTTTTGACGCTTAGTTATGTTTACCCGTAAACAAAATATAATTTTTTGTCGCTAAAGAACTGCGCGAGTTTAAATACGTTGTGTGGGTATGCGCAACTAGTCGCGTACCACGTTTTGGCGGGCTGGTAAAAGGTGACTTTCGTAAGCTGGGCGTCGCTTAGTTAAGTCGTTTGTCACATTATTTTGCATTTTGTTCCCATGAGGGAGATGTGAACCACCAAATAAGGCCAAAGAAACGACTATAGATTCCGTAAAAAGATTTAACAAAAGTTTACAAAGTCGTCGTGGTCTAAAGGATAACGCGTCCGGTGCATTCGTATGTAGCGATGCAACGATGTTCGAATCCCGCAGGCGGGTACCAATTTTTGGAATGAAATACGTACTTAACAAATGTTCACGATTGACTTCCCCGGTCATCGTTCTCGTCGAACCCGTCGCTCGCGACGAAGGGTTCGGCGAGTAAATTGACCCATAGACACAGCCCACTGAGTTTCTCGCCGGATCTTCTCAGTGGGTCGCGTTTCCGATCCGGTGGTAGATTCTGCGAAGCACTGCTCTTGCTAGGGCCAGTGTTAGCAACATCGTCAGGTTTGAGTCCCGTGAGCTCACCTACTAGTTAAAGTTACGCTGATACATATTAAGTCGTCGTGGCCTAAGGGATAAGACGTCCGGTGCATTCGTGTTGAACGATGCACCCGGTGTTCGAATCTCAGGCGGGTACCAATTTTTCTAATGAAATACGTACTCAACAAATGTTCACGATTGATTTCCACGGTGAAGGAATAACATCGTGTAATAAAAATCAAAACCCGCAAAAATTATAATTTGCATAATTACTGGTGGTAGGACCTCCTATGAGTCTGCACGGGTAGGTACCACCACCCTGCCTATTTCTGCCGTGAAGCAGTAATGTGTTTCGGTTTGAATGGTGGGGCAGCCGTTGTAACTGTACTTGAGACCTTAGAACTTATATCTCAAGGTGGGTGGCGCATTTACGTTCTAGATGTCTATGGACTCCAGTAACCACTTAGCACCAGGTGGGCTGTGAAGTCACCCACACCTCTAAGCAATAAAAAAAAACAGTAATAGCGTGATTTTGTTACAAAAAAATATATCCCTATTGTTTCTTACAATAAATGTTTATTCATAAACGTCTCGCTCTTTTGCATGATTTACCATAGTAATTTATTACATTTTAGTTCAATTCTTTACACTTTCTACATGCATAAAAAAATGGAATAGTATTTAGATACATTTACTCGATTTGTTGTGAACTATGGGATCACTTTAGTCCAATATACCCAAAACGAAACTGTAAGCTGTGCGAATTTGTCTAACTTTACATGTTACTGAAAATCTTTCAACGATAGCTCATATTGCTTTACATGTTACTCCTAATCTTTCAATGCTGGCTTAGATAATTTTACTTGTGACGAGAAACCTTTTATATAAAATTCAGATAATTTTACCTGTTTATCAAATTATGGACAATATATATAAGCGACAATAACTGCTATATACACAAATGATAGGCAATAACCTTTAAGTATATTCGATGGGCAAAAAAAAACTATTTCTAATTCTATTAAAATAATTTCAATCCTACAGTTAGATTCGTTAAAATATTTTTTTTTCCAAATTTTTCAACTTTAAATTGCTCTACTGTAAAGTTTACGCATTGTCGCTTAGTCATGTTTGCCTTTCAAGCGTCGATATATAGTTTAGTTCCATAGTTCCACAAATACTTAAAAATGGCACTGACCTACCTAACCTGTGTTAAAATTGACTAAAATTTAAATATATTTGAAAGTTACTTAAAAAAGAAAACTTAAAAACTAAAAATACTTTTTATATATTTTTTTTGTTTGTATACATGGAGACATCGCACGCTTAATAATAGACTGACCAATTAAAATTTAGGTTTAAAGTGGATTAAGCAAACATTTATTCTAGAGCAGGGGTTCCCAAACTTATTTTGTCTACTGCCCACTTTGAGAATAAATTCATTTGTAGCGCCCCCATTTTTTCATCTACTGAAAAACCACTATAGCGAGAGCTCACTTGATGTCTAAGAGTCCTCCTGAATAAATTTACATCTCGCCTCCCAAGCCTTCACACAATGCCCCCTTTTTTTCTGGGTCTCTTACCGCCCCCCTTTAGGCCTGCAGCGCCCACAAGGGGGCGTTATCGACGACTTTGGGAAAGGCTGTTCTAAACGGAACAACTGTGACTGTTTGTCTCTTTTACTCATGCAAATTTTGACAATGCAATGTGACAATTTGTTTTAATGAGTTAGGTCAGTTTATTAGTAAGCGTGCGCCGTGAAATTTCAGAAAAAACAAGTCAATATCTGAATAGTTCATTGAGAAACATGAATACAGTATCAATCTGTTAAAACAGTGTTGCTAGTTTATTATAGCTATCAATCGAAAATATACATATGATATCATATTATTACAAACTAATTTCTGCATTGGCAACACTATCTCTTTTTAGGAATAGTAGATAATAACATAACCTCTTTCCGAATGCTAGAATAATAAATATATTATTTTTGTTTGAAATAATGTATTTAATTGTGGTTCGTTTTGCATATTTTTTCACGGAAATTGTATAAATTATCTAATAATCTCGAGAGAGCATTATATTCATTAAATTCCAAAATGTATGCAATTCATCTACTCTTGCCTCCTTACTTTAGTACTTGGCAACACCTGGGAGGAAGTGCTTCGCAAAGTGACTTTTGTTTTATTTCATTTATCATTCTACATTCAAGGATTCAAGATTAAATTATTACCCATACATACCCAAGCATAATAAAAGCATTGCCGAAAACGAGGACATTACAAAAGAAATTGCTGTCGTAAAATCGATCGGGTCATCGAACCCTTACAGTTTTGCTTTACATTACGTGTTCCCTTTACTTCAATTGAAGACATGAGTGGATGAATGGGATATGATACAAATTGTTAATTTCGAGAAAACGGGCAACAAGCTTTTGTTACTTATTTTTTGAGATATTATGCGTTGTTTGCTGTCATTTTTATTTTTTTCAAACGCGAAAAGTACTTCCATATCTTTACCAATATGGAGGATATTATTGTTGGGAATCATTTAAAATTAAAGAACACGTTAAGTGCACATGTCACTTTCATTCAACGTGATATTTTCTTCTTCGTACATAAATCCTTCATCGGATGCAATTTCTAAAAATAGCTTTAAGGTCTAAAATGGTTTATAGGCACATAACACCTTCATTCAATGTAAAAACTCAAAAATCTTAAAAATGGTACGTGACACCTTCATCCACTCATTTTTTTATTGCTTAGATGGGTGGACAAGCTCACAGCTCACCTGGTGTTAAGTGGTCACTGTAACTCATAGACATTTACAGCGTAAATACGCTACCCACCTTGAGATATAAGTTCTAAGGTCTCAGTACAGTTACAACGGCTGCCCCGCCCTTCAAACCGAAACGCATTACTGCTTCACGGCAGAAATAGGCGGGGCGGTGGTACCCACCCGCGCGGACTCACACGAGGTCCTACCACCAGTAAAATGTCTTCAATCTTCAAGTCTTCAATCAAAACAACGTGACGTATTTCTCTTCAATATTAGAATCGATCGGTTCTATATTCCCTTTCTATAAAGATACGGTCTTCGATTCCGGCAACATTTATCTCGCACAGTATTTAACGTTAACATAAAACGTACGTACTAACGTTTTAAAAGTCGTCGAGGCAAAAATCGAAATGGTCCTCCATGACTTTGTACTGGTCGCAGGAGAACCGTATGCACTTCGGGCACGTGTACACCTGGAAGAAACGATATTGAGTATATCAGAACGGGAATAACGCTAAAGGCGAATGTTATTGTGTTAACTGACGTACAACATACAAAATTGAAGCATATTATTTATTTATTTATATTTATAAAGCTTTATGTATTTGTATATATTGGCGGATTTTACGTCTAAGGCAGTCTCTATCAAAGGTGATGCAAAGGAAATAATAGTTGGTGTATTAGAACATAACACACACACAAATACACACATTCATACATATTCCATAAAAGGCATTGGTTATCAAACTTGAAATATATTTTTAAGATATGTTTATTGCTTACATCTACACTATGTACATGGTTAATAAATCAAAAAGTATATAAAATTACAAAACGAATGAAAAATAAAAAAACGGTGCGCGTACAACTTGGTGCACGTGATTGAAGTGAAACTTCTTTTTCGTTGTGTAGTATTGTGGTTTTCTTCATTTTTCATACTTAAATCAGATTGCTCTTGTAATAGGCAATGCTGTGTATAAGAGATGCGACATCTTCAATAGTTATACTATTTAAATTTTAAATTATAGATAGAAAAATAAATATATATATATTTTTTTAAATACTTCATTAAAATTTTGGAGGCTACTCGTTGCTGACGCTCGCGCTGGCCTGTAACAGGTAAGCTACGCGTGTGCGTTCGGGTGCCACGCTTTCAATCTCGCTCTGTCTCTTTCTATTCCCCCTCCCCAAGAACGTTAAACGTTTAACATGTTGGAAGTCACATTAGAAGTTTCACTTCAATATACGCAGAATTTAAATGTTATCGAAATAAACATTAAAAATTAAATTATTAAAGTTGCTTCTCTCGCTATCGATATCTTAGCCCGAAATAGACTTATAAAACAGTGTAATCGTAACTAAATTATTTTCTCAATTTGTTTCTCTTCAGAGGTTTTAATTAATTTTATTTTTATTTGAACAATTTCTTAAGTTATTTTTCGTTTGTTTGAACACAAATTTGTTTTTCTTTGTTACTGAGATAATAAACACCTTTTTTTAAACAAAATTTGACAAGTATGGTATCGGCTGACCTCCCTGTTTAGAAAGGACATATCCTTGATATTTGAGAAGATAATTTTTGTTGGCTAGACAAAAAGTAATAACATATTAATGCGTCCTTCGTTTGGGATGTAGAGATTGCTACTGGTCCGGTCTTTTCAGGTTATAAGGACGGGCTTGATTGAAAAAAAAAGGGGGTGGGGGGGGATTGCTACTAACTGTCTGAGCGCTACAGACCGTCAACGGGGTACTAAAAGCTTGAGACAGCTGCTTCGCGAATGGATCTACTACCGGATCGGAATCGCGACCCATCCGAGTTTTTACTATTTTTTATTGCTTAGATGGGTGGACGAGCTCATGGTCCACCAGATATTAAATGATTACTAGAGTCCATAAACATCTACACGTAAATGCCGCCACCCACGTTGAGATGAATTTTAAGGTCTCAGTATAGTATAACTGACCTACCCTTCAAACCGAAACGGCACAAATAGGCAGGATGACCACCATCCTACCCGTTCGGACTCATAGGACGTTCCACCACCAGTAATTCAACGAAAACCTCAGCAGACAGATGCTACGAGGGACTTGTCACGTTGAACTCTTAAAGAAGAATAACCTGTGCGGTTTGGTACTGGCGTTAGAACTAGTAATGGTGACCATCACTAAATGTGGTTCAATCATCGGGAGGTGTGTAGGGCGTGGACTAGGGTTGCTGCGTGAGCTGGGTGAGGGGGCAGTGGCACCTACATCAGGGGAGTTACCATTCCACGAAGTAGCATTCCCCCACTGCGACTTCACGTACTTACGGATGGGTTCGTTATATAAATCGTTAATCTTAGTCATATCGCAAACAAGATGCATATTCTCATACTATTAAATTGCTATATTTTTTAAGCTCATAAACACCTAGACAAGCACACACACACAGACAACAATATTCAAAACTTGCATACCTGATTCACAGGGCTCAACTACTAAATGATACAACGCATATTTTTATATTATTAAACTAATTTTTAATCGTAAAATTAATTAACAAAAATGCAATTATACCCTTTTTTAAAAATAAAAATACACATAACATCTTGTCTGGTACTTTAAGATCGAATTTTAAAGTATGGTAACCCGAATTAAGACCGAAGGCTGGAAATACAGATGAATCTCAGTTATAACGTTAAAATCAGTTTGCATCATTAGTCTGCAATATTACCCTATTCTTTTTTAAAATAAAAATACACAATTTCTTGTCCAGTACTTTAAGATCGAATTTTAAAGTATGGTAACTATGGTAAGTATGGTAAAAAGAATAAAGCTGGCAATACAGATGAATCTAACTTATAACGTTAAGTCAGTTTGTATACAAACTTATTTTTTTCAATAAGCGATAATTATAAAACAACCCCCATTTACTTGAGTAACATAAAGATTAAGATAAAGAAGCCTTTAATATAATAACAACCTTAATTCATATTTAGGTACATACTATTAAGTGTTTGGCATCGGCTAAGATTGTTATGCAATTAAAAATGTTTCCCAAGTGCCCCTCGTGTATCAAATGTATCAAATGCCTATTGTAAATGCGTTATCTACAGTAGGCAACTATCGACATGTTGTTGCAGCAGTATCAGAGTCTTGAAGGGCTTGTCGCAGACCGGACAGTCGAACCTCATTGGAGGGGGAGTGGTTTCTTTAACAGCCCCCTCGGAAGTTTCGTTCGGTTTCTTCTTTTTAATCACCTTTACGATTTAATGATAGCGCACTGTACTATGCATTCAATACGAATGTAACTTCAAAGGTATCTGGTGTAGTTCGACAAGGATCTTTATGAATGTCAGTGACTTTAAAGAAAATGCGTTTCATTTTATTTGGTTTTTTTTTTTATTAACGCCTTCGGTAACATTAGCAGTACAGATAATGTGTTTTGGATTTTTACATCTCTATTGTAACGTATTCTAAATTTATAATTCAAATTAAAATTCCATTTTCAATACCGTTACTATGAAGTATAGATATGTATTATTTAAGATTTTTGTCACATTCATACTGGTCTTTGTCGAACTATGTATAATATTTTATATCACTAAGAAATACCAACACATCGACAATTAAAAAAAAAGATTAAAACACTTTGTAACTCTCAGTTCATCAGTTGATCAGTTACTATAAAATGATAAATGAAAAAATTTATAATCGAATTGGACAAAATTCACTTTTATTTAAACGTATTTCTATAACTACGTATTTCGGTGCCAGTACTTTACTAACACAAATGAGCCAATAACTGTTTTATTAGTTGACCGGTTTCCATAATTATTCCATATTATTACTGTGGACCTTGGACTACAAAAACACATTACTGGCATTGAAATAAAACGGAAGGCTGAAGGATAAAGCTTTTTAAAGCTAGTTGTAACAGCTCCATGGTAGTTCCAGATTTTATTCATTTATTGCTGACGGTTAGACGAGCTAAGGATGGTGGTAACCTCACGGGCGGTCTCTTAGTCCTACCACCGCCAGCGATACCAATAAACCAGCTCACGGTCTTTTGTTTTTTCCTACCTATGCTGATAGCCTTGACAGGCTATTTCAGCTTCTCTTTAACGTGTACGTGAGCTCACGGGGCTCTAACCAGGAATGTTGCTAACACTGGCCCTATCAGGAGCAGTGCTTCGCAGAATCTACCACAGGATCGGAAACGCGACCAACTGAGAAGATCCGGCGAGAAACTAAGTGGGCTGTGTCTGTGGGTTAATTTACTCGTGACCGGTGGTAACCTAAAAGCACCGTTAGTGGATCGGGAGGATCCGTAATGACGTGTTTAGGGCGCTCCTTTTGTATCTCTATTACTGTGTTGCTGTCGAGTCTTACAGCGCACGAACTCACCATGTTGCCGGTGCTGGATGGGGGGGAGCGGGGGGAGGGCGCGGCGGGGCGGGGCGCGGCGGCGGAGGGCGCCGATCGCTTCGCTGTGGCCCTCTGGTAAACGTCCGAGTTCAGCCTCCGCACCTCGTCCAGCTGTCGATTAAACAAACGATATTTCTGAAACTACCCTCTTAAAGATTAAATATGGTGTAGGTGATGAACAATGTTACCGCGGTTCGGTACAATTCAACTAAATTTTTTTTTTATTGCTTCGAGGGTTGGACGAGCTCACAGCCCACCTGGTGTTAAATGGTTACTGGAGCCCATAGACATCTACAAATTAATGTTAATCTAAATGTTATATGTTAACGAATTGTTTGTTAATATACAAGTCACGCGTCACTTTCTTATCCATTCGGCATGATAGACCTCTTGTCTACTGGTGGTAGAACCTCTTGTGAGTCCACACGGGTAGGTACCACCACCCTGCCGAGTTCTGCCGTGGAGTAATGCGTTTCGGTTTGAAGGGTGGGGCTGCCGTTGTAAATGTTTATGACCTCCGGTGACCACTTAACACCAGGTTGTGCCGCCAGGGCTGTGCGCTCGTCCAGCCATCTATGCAATAAAAAATAAAAAAGCTGGCGGTAGGACCTCTTGTGAGTCCGCGCGGGTAGGTACCACCGCCCTACCTATTTCTGCCGTGAAGCAGTAATGCGTTTCGACTTCAATAGGAAATATATTCTGCTGGTGTCTATGAGTTCCGGTAGCCTCTTAACACTAGGTAGATTGGTTTTTTTTAATGCACTCAACCATCCAATCGAACTAACAATTAATTTGATCTCATCCTTAATCTGTTCTGGTCTCGATATTCGATCGAAAACAATAAAATTATTGTATAGGTGATTGATGCGTGTGTAAATCTTCAAATTCATCGGACGTCTTGGAGTGTTCAAAGACTCCATACAAACAAACATACCGAGCTAATACTAAAGGCTCAAAAAACGGCCCGTACATAATCCTTCGAGCTAGTATGACATTTTTTTTTATTGCCCTTGTAGGCAGACGAGCATACGGCCCACCTGATAGTGAGTGGTTACCGTCGCCCATGGACTTCAGCAATGCCAGGGCCAAGCCGCTGCCTACAAAATTAATTGTAGTCCCGTGTACCTGTTGCGTCAGCTCTTGGTTCATTCGTTGAGTTTTCCTGAGGTCCGTGAGCACGGTCTCCTTTTCGCTGGCCATCTCTTGACGAGACTCTCGTTCCGCTTCGAAGTCGCTCCTGCAAGGAACCAGTCAGTGACGTCACCACAATGTGCGGTACTGTTACCCCTCAATATTTATTTATTTATTTATTACACTTCATGTAAAATTTACATTGGCGGACTTAATGCCTAGGGCGTTCTGTACTAGTCAACCAAAGGTAGTGCAAAGTAAATAGTGGTAGGTGCAATGAAATTTATATTAAATTACAAATACATACAATTACATATAATAGTTTATACAGTATTAAAAGGAATATATTAATAAACTAGCTGACCTGGCAGACTTCGTAGTGCCTCAGTCGATAACTAAAATACCTAAACTTTTTTATAAAAGAAACTTAAAACAAAAAAAAACAAAAAACAAAGTTGTTATTTTTATTTAATTCCGAGCATTTTCATATTTATCTACCTTTTAAACCTTCTCTGGACTTCCACAAATAATTCAAGACCAAAATTAACCAAATCGGTCCAGCCGTTCTCGAGGTTTAGCGAGACTAACGAACAGCAATTCATTTTTATATATTTATATATATTTAATAACGCAATATAAATAATAATGCAGACTAAGTCATTCCTGAATGCGTCGTCTCTATATAAAGACGATTTATAGCTGAAACGCGGCAGAACAGAATTGGCTTGAGCAGCGGAAACGCGCATTGTTTGTACTATTTCTTTAAAAAATAAACTCAGTGTCAGTCGCAGTTTCCTTTTTTAAAAAGAGCTCCCGGACCCGCCTCGTACGACCACACGGGGATAAAAGGACATGTCATGGCGCTTGTCCTTCTTCAAACGAGGCTTGCGGGGAGTACTTAATGGTAGGTAGTGGCTTGGCTATACCTCTGGCATTAACACTCACCATCAGATGGTCAGTATGCTTGTCTGTCTAATAGGGCAATAAAAAAAAATGAAAAAAACTTTTAATTCAAATGATTAAATTTTTAATGGTATATCTATTGTATTTTATAGTATAAGTCGTTGTACATAAATAATATGCGCGTATTGTCTTGCTTTTGTATTTTTGTGTAATCTTAAATTTTTTAATTTCTCTATTTTTTCTCTTTCACTCTCTACTTATATGTGATTTTGATGGTGGAATTGATTTTTGTTTTAACTATTTTTTTAAATATCATTTTTGTATTGTACTGTTGGTTTTCAAATAAATAAATAAATATTCATAGCAGAAGTCATTGAAGGAGATCCTTTTTGTTACAACGCATGAATTAACCACGGTAATAACTCTTAATAAAACGAAGGCACCACCCGTGGCGCTTAACTAGACTTACTTGTATAACTCGAGTTGTGCTTTCAAAAGCTCCGTGTCCTCTTTCTCCTCCTTCAGCTTATCGATCTCAACTTTCAGCATCTGCAGCTCCTGTCCCCGGGCCACAAGCGCCGAGGTCAGCATCTCAATGTTGGGAGTTCCGGGATTCTAATAACGAATCGACATTGAACAAAACATTATAGGGGACAAATTTTTTTTCTTTTTATTGCTTATATGGGTGGACGAGTGTTAAGTGGTTACTGGAGCCCATAGACATGTACAACGTAAATGCGCCACCCACCTCGAGATATAAGTTCTAAGGTCTCAGTATAGTTACAACGGCTGCCCCACCCTTCAAACCGAAACGCATTACTGCTTCACGGCAGAAATAGGCAGGGCGGTGGTACCTACCCGTGCGGACTCACAAGAGGTCCTACCACCAGAAAAAAATGAAGGTGGCCAAAGGACATCACTGTAAGGTCTGTTCGGCGGAGGGGCAGAAGTGGTTTTCGCGAACTACTAATTAATTTTCCGCACTGATTTCTGCCCTAGCTTCGGTGTTCGTGTGATCGTTTTTTTTTATTGCAGACGAGCATACAGCCCATCTAATAGTGAGTGGTTACCGTCGCCCATGGACGTCAGCAATGCCAGGGGCAGAGTTAAGCCACTGCCAACAGACTCCGCGCTCGACAACTATATATCTCACCTTCGCTTCCTTGGCCTTGCTGTCGAGGATGTTACTACAATCTTTGAATATCCCTTCGAATATCGACAACGTCCCCCTTACTTGACCGCTGTGAACAAAACAAAATTATTGTAGCCAGTGAATAACGGCCACGGTGCGAAATATAAATCGCATTGCATACATGGGTGGACGAGCTCACGGCCCACCTGGTGTTAAGTGGATACCGGAGCCCATAGACATCTACAACGTAAATACCGCCACCCACAGGAGATATGAGTTCTAAGGTCTCAGGATAGTTACAACGGCAGAAATATGCAGGGTGGTTTATTGTATTGATGAGTAAACAAGCTCACGACCCATCTGGTGTTAAATGGATACTGGAGCCCATGGACATCTACAACGTAAAAGTCATCATCGCCACCTTGTGACATGAGTGGTTCTAAGGTCTCAGTTATTTTTTTACAGTACAACGGCTGCCCCACTCTTCAAACCGAAACGCATTACTGCTTCACCGGGAACTAGGCAGGATGGTGGTACCTACCCGTGCGGACTCACAAGACGTCCTACCACCAGTAAACAGTTACTACATAGACGGGTCAAAAAGATCACAGTCTAATTGGATACTGTCACCCTCCTTGAGACGTGAGTTAGGTATCTCAATAGTACGACTGCCCCTCCCATAAAACTAGAACACGTTATTTTTAAGCGACACAATAAGACAGGAGTAGTGAAATGAAATAGAGGCCTTTGCTTAGTCTACTCGCGCGCCGCCTGTCGTATATTTAACGGTACTATATTAGAAGAAGTTTTTTGAAGCCAATAACAATGAACACTTTTTACTGGCGGTAGGACCTCTTGTCAGTCCGCACGGGTAGGTACTACCACCCCGCCTATTTGTGCCGTGGAGCAGTAATGCGTTTCGGTTTGAAGGGCGAGGCAGCCGTTGTAACTATACTGAGATCTGAGAACCCATATCTCACGGTGACGCATTTACGTTGTAATTGTCTATGGGCTTCAGTAACCACTTGACACACCAGGTGGGCTGAGTAATATTTTTGTATAATTAGACGAGATAGAGCGAAATCAAACTTGTTGAACCGCTAATGAATATAAAACAATTATGCGTATATTGGGGCAGCGTTAACTAAATCTATTCGCTTAGTAGCTTTTTTTTTAAATATGGCAATTGACTTTTAACAACGCAGATGATGTTGCCAGTACCGTGTTTTTAAAAATCCTCGATTTTTATATGGATATGTACGTATTCTGTTAAAAGAATTTCATCCGAACAGACAAGCGTGTACCCCATGCCTCCATCTCTCCCATAGACAATTGATTGCTCAAAAGCATATTATGTGTTCCGTTTGACGTCCGAAGTCCATTATGAGAGTACATCGTATGATTTCCACTGCAGGTCGCTAAATTTGACTACTTCCGTTTCCTAAGTCCCATCTACAGCGCCCTCTATAACGTCTGGAACCGAACCAACAAGCAAAGACAAGCCGCCATATTTGTCATTGTTGCGTCGTTTTTTCCCACGTGCAGTCGTTAATATTTNCAAATATGGCGGCTTGTCTTTGCTTGTTGGTTCGGTTCCAGACGTTATAGAGGGCGCTGTAGATGGGACTTAGGAAACGGAAGTAGTCAAATTTAGCGACCTGCAGTGGAAATCATACGATGTACTCTCATAATGGACTTCGGACGTCTTAGGAAACATAATACAAATTTTATTGGAAGGTAAAATTTCTATATTATGTTTTGGATTTCGCTATATTTTTGAAAGACGGAACCTTCTGCTTTAATGTATACATATAAATAAAATTGGTGTGTCTGTTTGTAATATTGAAATGGCCGCTTTTTACTACATGCATATGAATATATATACGGTACATATACTAAAATAACATTTTTTACAATTTTTGTCTGTCAGTTTATTCCGGCTTATCTCTGGAACGGCTGGACCGATTTTGACGGGACTTTCACTGATAGGTAGTTGATAATATAAGGAGTAACTTAGGCTACTTTTTTTAGACTAGCTTCGCTCAGCGGCTTCACCCACGGTACGACAATAGGCGCGGGTAGCATTGCGGGACTCAGCTAGTTCAACATATATTAGTTTTCCAGCACAGAGTATTTATATAATTGGTTAGCTACATGAGATTTGCACATCAAAGTGTGACGTCATGTGATGTTTCGGTTTGAAGGGTGGAGCAGGCGTTGTAACTATACTGAGACCTTAGAACTTATATCTCAAGGTGGTGGCGCATTTACGTTGTAGATGTCCATGGGCTCCAGTAACTACTAAACACGAGGCGGGCCGTGAGCTCATCCACCCATCTAAGCAATAAAAAAAAATCTAGTTGCTATGACGTATTCTTTATGTGAAGAGTCTCCCGAGTGAAGCTAAGTAATAAGAGTGTGATCTCACATGTTGCTGAGCACGGCGCTGTGCTGCTTCTCCAGCTGCTGCTTGAGCTCGGCGAGCCCGGCGCGCAGCTGCCCCGCCGAGCCCCGGCCCAGCTCCAGGTCGCACAGACTGCCCAGCAGCCCCACCGTCTCCGCCAGGCTGTCGGAGAGCCTGCAACAAATCAATAGTACGCATCAGTACCGTCTGGACATCTACCCCTTTTTACGAAAATTGCGCGGAGGGAGGGGTATAAAATTTCCCACACTTATAGAGAATATAGTGAAGGAGTGCAAAATGCTATTTTTTTTTAAACCCTGCTTTATTTTATACTAATATTATAAAGCTGAAGAGTTTGTTTGTTTGAACGCGCTAATCTCAGGAATTACTGGTTCGATTTGAAAAATTATTTCAGTGTTAGATAGCCTATTTATTGAGGAAGGCTATAGGCTAAATTACATCACGGTAAGACCAATACAAGTGGAGCACTAATAAAGAATGTTTCAAAATAGCTGTTTAAATAGCTCGTTAACATTCTATAATTCAAAAATATTTTCACATTCTACGTAAATGAAGTGGGGGGTAAAATTTAGCGTTATGCCAAATTAGCGATGCACCGGTGTTCGAATCCCGCAGGCGGGTACCAATTTTTCTAATGAATTACGTACTTAACAAATATTCACGATTGACTTCCACGGTGAAGGAATAATATCGTGTAATAAAAATCAAACCCGCAAAATTATAATTTGCGTAATTACTGGTGGTAGGACCTCTTGTGAGTCCGCAGGGGTGGTTCCGCTTATTTCTACCGGTAAGCAGCCGGTTTGAAAGGTAGGGCAGCTGTTGTAACTATACTTGAGACATTAGAACTTATATCTCAAGATGGGTGGCGCATTTACGTTGTAGATGTCTATGGGCTCCGGTAACCACTTAACCACCAGGTGGGCTATGAGTTTCTCCACCCATTTAAGAAAAAAATAACATGTGTGCAATTCACACGTGGTAGAAGTGAAACCTTCCAAAATTAAAATACAATTATCCTAAACGTCTTAAGTATATGTAAAATGTTGTCATTAGTAAATAATTGTAAGGTAGCGCCCTCTATGAATTGATATTTTAATTTCACGTATAATCCTAAATTAAAATTCACTACAAGAGCTTTCATACACACGTTAGTATTAAAAAATCTCACAGATGGCGCTGTATTAAATAGTATGTATATTTCTGTCTCATTCTTTGCTGGCTTCATCCTACACATTTTTGTATTTGTGTCTNCTTTCATACACACGTTAGTATTAAAAAATCTCACAGATGGCGCTGTATTAAATAGTATGTATATTTCTGTCTCATTCTTTGCTGGCTTCATCCTACACATTTTTGTATTTGTGTCTCTTACCTGTCGTTTTTTCCGTTGCATCCGGTTTGAAATCACAACGATTCTAAAGAAGTTTTCACTTCAAAAAAAAAAAACTCACAGCTAACTTAGTGTTCAATGGTTACCGGAGCTTATAGACATCGACGACGCACTCACCTCCAGACACGAACTCTAAACCTCAAGTTTGTTGAAGTATGCAACGAAAAACAAGATATAACAGTCGGGGAATTAGTAAAGTTATATATCGTAGACCGGTTGACCTCTAAACATTCACTGTGAGAACTGATGATTTATTAAAAGCATCTCAAAAAAAGCTGTAAACGATGCGTATGTTCACGGGCGCGCACAGACAGCCTGCCCCTCGATTCATGAACGCTTTTATCTCATCTCAATCATGGAACCAAATCGCTTCCCCTTATGACATGAGCCAGTAGGAGTACTCACCCGTATATTAGCACGTTGAGCAGCTCAGCTAGATGCTTCAAGGTTCTGTCGTACAGCTTCACGTTCGCGTTGACGTTGGACTGGTCAGACTCCGCCGCGCCGCACGATATCCGAGCGGGCTGGAACACCTGACCGACAAGTGACCTTCAGACATCCGTGACGTCAACAAATGTTTTTTTTTTCAAGGAGTCGTTAAGTGTCAGCGACAACGCACGTGACCGCCTTAAGAGATGAGGTCGCATTAGAGCAATAGCTACTTTAGTTAAGCGCGACCATTTTTCGGCAGATATATTAGAGATGCCGTCAAATGCCGTATGTGGTAGGCAGCGGCTTCGATCTGCCCCTGGCATTGCTGAAGTCCATGGGCGACGGTAACCACTCACCATCAGGTGGGCCGTATGAACGTCTGCCTACAGCCTACAAGGGCAATAAAAAAAAACCGACAAGTGACCTTCGGACATCCGTGACGTCAAGAAATGTATTTTTTTCTAAATTCACAAAGTCGTCAAGGATCAGCGACAACGTACATGACCGCCTTAAGAAATGAGGTCGCATTAGAACAGCCTTTCTCAAAGTGGGCGATAACGCCCCCCTGTGGGCACTGCAGGCCTAAGGAGGGGCGGTTTGACACCCTAAAAAAATAGGGGCGTTGTGTGAGGCTTGGGAGGAGGAGGATATGTGATTTCATCTAGGAGGACTCTTAGAAACGGAATGAGCTGTAGTGCTTCTTAAGTAGGCTAAAAAGGGGGGCACTAAAAAATAATTTATTATAAAATGGGCAGTAGATAAAATAAGTTTGGGAACCCCTGCATTAGAACAATAGCTACTTTAGTTAAGCGCGACAGTTTTGCGGCAGATATAGATGAGGTCAAGGTGCCGTCAATCAGGTATAAACAACGCATTTTTTTTTTAGTTTGCATACATATCGGCGCAATACTGCAAGATTGGTTAAATCTGATACATTGCAAACCCAGTGCACGCCCAGCACTCAATCCGTGGACCCTGTTCATGTAGAATTAGTAGACAGTGAGGTAGAACGCAGAGCCTCCTTGCCACCCTCGGATGCGTTACCACCCGTCACCCCGATGGAAGTTAAAGACTTGATCAAAAACCTACGTCCTCGCAAGGCTCCCGGTTCCGACGGTATATCTAACCGCGTTATTAAACTTCTACCCGTCCAACTCATCGTGATGTTGGCATCTATTTTCAATGCCGCTATGGGGAACTGTATCTTTCCCGCGGTGTGGAAAGAAGCGGACGTTATCGGCATACATAAACCCGGTAAACCAAAAAATCATCCGACGAGCTACCGCCCGATTAGCCTCCTCATGTCTCTAGGCAAACTGTATGAACGTCTGCTCTACAAACGCCTCAGAGACTTCGTCTCATCCAAGGACATTCTCATCGATGAACAATTCGGATTCCGTACAAATCACTCATGCGTTCAACAGGTGCACCGCCTCACGGAGCACATTCTTGTGGGGCATAATCGACCAAAACCGTTATACACGGGAGCTCTCTTCTTCGACGTCGCAAAAGCGTTCGACAAAGTCTGGCACAATGGTTTGATTTTCAAACTATTCAACATGGGCGTGCCGGATAGTCTCGTGCTCATCATACGGGACTTCTTGTCGAACCGCTCTTTTCGATATCGAGTCGAGGGAACCCGCTCCTCCCCACGACCTCTCACAGCTGGAGTCCCGCAAGGCTCTGTCCTCTCACCCCTCCTATTTAGCTTATTCGTCAACGATATTCCCCGGTCGCCGCCGACCCATTTAGCTTTATTCGCCGACGACACGACTGTTTACTATTCTAGTAGAAATAAGTCCCTAATCGCGAAGAAGCTTCAGAGCGCAGCCCTAGCCCTAGGACAGTGGTTCCGAAAATGGCGCATAGACATCAACCCAGCGAAAAGTACTGCGGTGCTATTTCAGAGGGGAAGCTCCACACGGATTTCCTCCCGGATTAGGAGGAGGAATCTCACACCCCCGATTACTCTCTTTAGACAACCCATACCCTGGGCCAGGAAGGTCAAGTACCTGGGCGTTACCCTGGATGCATCGATGACATTCCGCCCGCATATAAAATCAGTCCGTGACCGTGCCGCGTTTATTCTCGGTAGACTCTACCCCATGATCTGTAAGCGGAGTAAAATGTCCCTTCGGAACAAGGTGACACTTTACAAAACTTGCATAAGGCCCGTCATGACTTACGCGAGTGTGGTGTTCGCTCACGCGGCCCGCACACACATAGACACCCTCCAATCCCTACAATCCCGCTTTTGCAGGTTAGCTGTCGGGGCTCCGTGGTTCGTGAGGAACGTTGACCTACACGACGACCTGGGCCTCGAATCAATTCGGAAATACATGAAGTCAGCGTCGGAACGATACTTCGATAAGGCTATGCGTCATGATAATCGCCTTATCGTTGCCGCCGCTGACTACTCCCCGAATCCTGATCATGCAGGAGCCAGTCACCGTCGACGCCCTAGACACGTCCTTACGGATCCATCAGATCCAATAACCTTTGCATTAGATGCCTTCAGCTCTAATACTAGGGGCATGCTTAGGGACCCCGGTAACCGTACTCGTCGAACTCGACAAAGAGGTCGACGTGCAACCTAACCCATGCATCAGCCCGCTGAGTTTCTCGCCGGATCTTCTCAGCGGGTCGCGATTCCGATCCGGTAGTAGATTCATTCGCGAAACAATTGCTCTTGAGTTGTTAGGTCTCCTTCAGAGGCGCTCGGGCAGTTGTTAGCAAATCCCGCCCCTCTTGGCTGAGCTTTTGCTCGCCCACCTGTCCTGGTGAAACTGGAAAGGCCTTCGGGCCACCAGTAAACTCTCAATCATAAAAAAAAAAAAAAAGATTGGTTAAATTGAACTGTTTCCTTAAATGTAAAAATTTTTGGTTAAAACGCTTGTTTGAGACGGTATTCAAGAGAATTCATGAACAAACTACCTCCACTTTGCAACTATAAATACGAGTTACCATTGTCGCACAACCCCACCAGGTTAGAGCCCTGTGAGCTCAGCTACTCATTCGGCAACGCTGGCATATCTCCGTAAGGCTAACCAACTCGGGTAAAAAAAAACGCTCAACACATTCCGACTCGAGCAGCCGAACGGAGCGGAGCTCTCTGTTGTTATTGTTGTACACTTGAAATTCAATAAAAGTAATTGTTTGGAAATTTTACTTTTAAGTAGTCGTCACTATAGAAAACAATATTAATGATGGAAGAGATTGACATCATCGTTTTAAGTAACAACAATGCGCCAGTCGCGCTTTCACACACATTTATATACATACATATATGTGGAGGGATGAAATGCTATTTGGTTAAAGCGGCATTTATCTTTGTAATTAAAGGTCCGTTTTATTTGATATTAGCATCAACAATTCGATGTTTCTTAACCCTCAGACACAGCCCACAGAGTTTCTCGCCGGATCTTCTCGGTGGGTCACGTTTCCGATCTGGTAGTAGATTCTGCGAAGCACGGGTCTTGCTAGGGCCAGTGTTAGCAACACACCCGGTTAGAGCCCCGTGAACTCACCTACACGTTAAGGCGAAGCTGAAATAGCCTCTCAAGGCAAATTTTAAGCTTTAAATAGTTCTCCTGTGAAGTTGCACAATAATTTCGCTTAAACCAAATATCCTTTCACCGGTCGATATGTTTAAACTGTTGCCACTTACAATGGTCGATGCCTCCTTGAGTTTATTCTGCAGGTCCTGTATCTGATCCTTGTACACTTTAACGGTTTCGTTCGCGACGGACTTGTGCTTGCTGAACTGCAGCTGAAAAGTAAACAAGCATAATTAAGGAAAACGGTTACGATAGTATTCATTAAATTTTGTTTTGTTTCTATTGACCTCGAGGGGTCACGCTAGATTCACCGAGCGTGTAGGTGAGCTCACGGGGCTCTATCTTGAGGGCGTTGCTAACACTATCAACAGCAGTGCTTCGCTGAATCTACCACCGGATCGGAAACGCGACCCACTGAGAAGGTCTGACGAGAAACTCAGTGGGCTGTGTCTGAGGGTTGTTTGTTTGCTAAAAACTCGTTATTTTTTCTCCTATTGACGCCGAAAGTTCGGTTTTCGTCCCGCTGTACAGGGAAGAAAGTGTAACTTTACCTCCCGCTGTACAGGGAAGAAAGTGTAACTTTTCTTCCCTGGGTACTGACAAGTGCGCATGCGCGTTAGTGTCTACATCTGCTCTCACGCACCTAAAATTCTCCGCCATTGTTGTGCTCGGGTAATTTGCAATATTGTGCTTAGTGTAAAAGTGAATTAAACAAAAGGCAATAAAATTTTATAGTGAAGTATTAAACAAAGATAAGTTCATCAGACAGTTCTTATTTAATTAGTAGTAGTTTATTTAAAAATTAAAAATCAGAAAAAAATGTTTTTTTATGAGCTTCTAACTATCCCCTACCAGGGCTTCGCCACTCCACGAACTTTCGGCCTGGTAGGAGAAAAAATAGTATGTGCACCGCGGGAAAAAAGTAGGACATCTCATCCCGCGTGTTCGCCATTTTACACGCGAGAGGAAATGTTCTACTTTTCTCCCTTGGTGCACAATGTACTATTTAACATATTTACATTTTGTTGTGGGTTAATTTACTTGCCAAGCCCTTCGTCGCAAGCGAGGGGTTCGACAATTCTGAATTTCTATTAAGCTCTCCTACTCGGCCTGCGTCATACCTTCACGTTTTCCAGATCCAAAATCTTCAGCTGCGCGGTCTTGAGCTCGCTCTGCAACATCGCTATCTTGTTCTGCAGCTGCTGTATCGTGACGTCACGTCGCTTCACTTCCTCCAACGACACGCTCGTCTGGAAGTCAAAAAGCGTTAAATAGTTTTTCGTAAAAAGCGTGGGGTGCTTTTCAGGAGATTATTAAAATAGCCCTTCTACGTATATCTGTTCATAAAATATTCATAACTACTGATACCATGCACCCCACGCTTTCTTTACAATAAAATCATTTTTTCTTACACTATTTTTAATTCAAATTTATTTTCTATTTATCAGTTGGATTTTCTAACGTATTTCGTTAGTTTTTTTTAAGTTATTATTTATTTTTTAGTTGAATTTCAATTTTTTCAGTTTTTTTTTAACATTGAATTGTCACCGGTCCTTAATAAGTATACCATATTTCGAGTTAATACGACATTTTGAAGGGGGTCAAAATCATGTTCAAAGATTCCGTTACATACATACATACATACGTCTGAAGCTAATAAAAGCGTATTAAATTAGAGCTACTTACGTCTCCGCTGACCGCTTGCAGCTGGTCCTTGAGCTGCTTGATCGTGAAGCTTAGTTTCTCGGTTTCAAGCGCGTGCTCAGTCTCCCGGCTCAACATTTGAAGCTATAAAATAAAAATTTGGGACGTACTGATTATTTTAAAATCGATTTTAGCGACACAGATTTTAATCGATTTAAATATATTTTTATTTAGTTTATTTAATATATTTTGTACACACAGCTGTTAGAAGAAACACGACAATAAGGACATAGAGTACAAGGGCACTACTTATTTCATGTTGAAATCTCTTCTAGGAGGCCCGCAGAAGGAAAGAAGAATTACGAACGCAAACCTTTAATGTGTTTATTGTAGACAAATGCGACGAATTTTAGAATTTAAGTATAACTACAAGTTTTTTAAATAACTTATTTAAGAATCAATGTTAGTGCCATAGTCGAGATGGCATGAAACTAATATACATGAATTCGTAGAAGCGATCCATAGAGGAAAAAATATGTTTGTGTTTTTAAATTCGCCATTCGTTTGGTACTAATTGAGTGACAATAAGACTTACTCTGGCCCGTCGCTAAACTAAAATATGATACTTGGGTGAACGAGCTGGGTGAAACCGCCTGGTGTTAAGTGGTTACCGGACACCACATTGAGACATGACGTCAAAATCTCGTTTGAGCTTCTTTTTTTCCTACCTAAGCTGATGGTCTTGAAAGACCATATCAGCGTCACCGGGCGAGTACGTGAGCTCACGGGGTTCAAACCTGACGTTGTTGCTAGCACGAACCCTAGCAAGAGCCGTGCTTCGCAGAATTTACCACCGGATTGGAAACGCGACCCAATGAGAATATCCTCATTTGAACTATACAATGGCTCCCCCATACTTCAAACCGGGGGGCGGTGGGGGGCGTTGGGGGAAGGGAGGGCTAATCGTTGCCATAATATCATGTTACGAAAAATTACCTCGACCCGTTTCAGTTTCTCCTTCAAGTCGTCTCTCTCCTTGGACGTTGCGTCAACTATATGCTCCAGGGACTCCTTCTGCCAGGTCAGTTTCTCATTCTCAACTATAACCTGCAAGATGTAGCAAGCGAATAACAATTATACTGTATGTATGTATGTATTTATAGAGTTGAGTAAACTTAATAAACGCCATTAAAAACCCAAATATGGCGTAATCTTTTCATAGATGGTACGCGAATAAAAATATGTATGAATGTGGGCGCGGTGGCGGAGCGACCATTCCCTGGAACCCACTTCATTGGAGTAAAAGTTACTTGACTACGATTACCTCGGTTTTCTTTATACAACCTCTGTGTCTAGAAGATTCTAATGTATTAGAGGAATAGAAGCGATTTTCCAATTTTAACTTGGGCGGTTTTAGCTAGTTCAGAATTCACCTCGTCGTCGTGGCCTAAAGGATAAGATGTCCGATGCATTCGCATTAAGCAATGCACCAGTGTTCGAATCTCAGGCGGGTACCAATTCAGGTTTTAATGAAATACGTACGCAACAAATGTTCACGATTGACTTCCACGGTGAAGGAATAACATCGTGTAATAAAAATCAAACTCGCAAAATTATAATTTGCGTAATTACTTGTGGTAGGGTCTCTTGTGAGTCCGCGCGGGTAGGTACCACCACCTCGCCTATTTCTGCCGTGAAGCAGTAATGCGTTTCGGCTTGAAGGGTGGGGCAGCCGTACTGAGACCTTAGAACTTATATCTCAAGGTGGGTGGCGTATTTAAGTGTTAGATGTTTATAGTATCCACATAGTCTCCAGTAACCACTTAACACCAGGTGGACTGTGAGCTCGTCCACCCAAACCTGTTATTGAATGGTAACCGGAGACCACATCAACGAGGTGAATGCCGTCGCTGTCAGACATGAGCTCTGAGTCTCACTTGGCCAGTACAACAGCTTCTGTAATTCAAGTTCCTAACGTCCCCCTGGACTTCGGGTGACCGGTCAGCACAGACCTGTCGCCGTTGCTTCTCGACGAGCGCCAGCTGGGCCGTGAGCTTGTTCATGGTGTCGTCGTCGGGCGCGGACACGAACTCCACGGCGGACGGCGGCCCGGACCGCGCCGGCGGACCCTCCGCGACCCTAGCCCTGCTGTCGTCCAAATGCTGGATGTCGAACTTCAACTTCTTGTTCTCTTGACGGAGCTGTAAAGAATATTTATTTTTCACTAGCTGACCCGGCAGATTTCGTAGTGCCTCAATCGATAAATAAAAGACCTAAACTTTTGTATAAAATAAACTTAAAACAAACAAAAGAATCCGTCCGACGGGGGACACATCAAAGGATAAACAAAATTGTTAATTTTATTTCATTCCGAGCATTTTCATGTTTATCTACCTTTTAAACCTTCTCTGGACTTCCACAAATAATTCAAGACCAAAATTAGCCAAATCGGTCCAGCCGTTCTCTAGTTTTAGCGAGACTAACGAACAGCAATTCATTTTTATATATATAGATTTCATAATCATCATTATTCTGCCCTTCTCCCAGGCACCTGGGGTCGGCGCAATATGTTTTCTCCTTCCATACTCTTCTATCATATACCATTTCTTCGATCACTCCCTTCTTACACATATCGTCTTTCACGCAATCCATCCATTTCTTTTTAGGTCTACCTCTTCCTCTATGTCCTTCCACATTCATAGTTAACATTCTCTTACCAACATCCTTTATTTTTATGCTCCTCATTTAAACTAGATAGACTAATCGGACAGTTGTTAGGGCCCTACGCAATAATTTTGAGTCATATGATAATCAAACACGACACGACAACGTGAAAACGCAACCTTAAAATAATACGTCGAAGTCACATTTTTGTTTTATAACTTTTATTTATAAACTGGAACAATAGATACTACGTAATTCATTAATTCAAAGTCCCGACTCTTAAAAAAGCTAGGCGAATGATTGAATAGTGAATGACAGCATGACCTATATCTCTATAGAGACGTCATTTTCCGGGAACCATTAAGAACTGAAGTGGACACTTTTGGATTTAAAGTAAGGATTATTCAATGTATATCTTCAGTAATTATTCGTAACCTGAATGTAGACTGTATTTCAACAGTTAAACTAGCCAAAATCCAAATTATTACCACCATCATAGAGCGTGTTGTAAGCCCCCACAAATAGGTACCGTAACCCTCCGTTTCTGCCGCGACGCAGCCATAAGTGCCGGGCGGAAGGGTAGCCATTACACAACGCCATGGAAAATTCCACTATCACGTCCCAACGTGAGTGTTAGTTGTCGCGAAGTCACATTTTTTTTTAATGCCCTTGTAGGTAGACGAGCATACGGCCCACCTGATGGTGAGTGGTTACCGTCGCCGATGGACTTCAGCAATGCCAGGGGCAGAGCCAAGCCGCTTCCTGCCGCTTAATACTCCCCACAAGCCTCTTTTGAAGAAGGACATGTCAAAGCGCTCGGGAAATACCGTGGAGGGGAGCTCATTCCATAGCCGAATGGTACGTGGCAAAAAAGACCTCTGGAAACGCACTGTCGATGAACGCAGCAGTTCCAGATAATATGGATGAACTCTGCTCCGATGGTGGGAGGTGCGATAATAAAAAGGAGATGAGGGGATCATCTCAAACAATTCCTCAGAGCACTCACACGAGAGCTCTCACTCACAGAGCACGTGACGTCGTTCAACAAAAGAAAAAACCGACTCACTCTCTCGACCAGTTCCTTGGTCTCTTCGAACTTCTCCTTGTGCAGCATATGGGTCTTCATCATGTCCTCCTGACAGGAGGCGATCAGCAGGAACTGTTCCTTCATCGAATCATTATTCTGCTTTAAAGTTTCCTTCAGTATCAAGTTCTCATCTAAGAGCTCGCCGAACCGTTTCTGCAACTCCTCTGTACTCTTGTCGTCTGTTATCATTGTGCTCGCGACCATCATGCTCGCCGGTGATGGCTGGAACCAAACACTCAAAGTTAATCTATTATCTATATCTTTATATATAAAAATGAATTGCTGTTCGTTAGTCTCGCTAAAACTCGAGAACGGCTGGACCGGTTTGGCTAATTTTGGCCTTGAATTATTAGTGGAAGTCCAGAGAAGGTTTCAAAGGTAGACAAATATGAAAATTCTCGGAATTAAATAATGTTTAGGTCTTTTATTTATCGATTGAGGCACTACGAAGTCTGCCGGGTCAGCTAGTCAACCAATAAATATTTTGTTTGGTCTACCTGCCGTTAGTAACGTGATGTTATATTGGCTTCAACGAACGTATAGGCGAGCTCACGGGGTTTACAACTTAGGAGACTTTGTTATCATCTGACTTAGCAAGAGAATTGTCATTATTATTCTGTTTGTTTTTCTTGTGAACATTGATGTTGCAATGGCCGGCCGACCTGATGTTAGCGATTACCGGCGGCCATAGACAAGAACAACGTAAAAGCATACTGCTTCACGGTAGAAATTTAAAGGTCAGTGGTACGGGGCTCACAAGACGCCCTACCATCAGTAAAACCTATAGACCTAATAGTGTTAACATATCGATACATAAAATAGAGATATTCAAACTGGAAAACATCGACTGCTTCGCGACAGAAGAAGGTAGATTAATGCTCTCTAACGATGCTGACTTACAATACGCTAATTTTACGTGTTTAATTTTTGATACGCGATTTAATTCCTTAATTTTTCAAGTAGTTCCTAAGCACATCCCAAATACGGTAGACAACGGCTTGGCTCTGTCAATGACATTGCTAACGTCCATGGGCGACGGTATCCACTCACCATGAGGTGAGATGTATGTTCGTCGGCCTACATGGGCAATAAAAAAAGAAACCTTGTAAAATTGGATACATTCTGGCAGGAGTTGAGCCCGGCATAGTCATACCGACTGATATGAGCGCACCGAATCTTGTAACTAAGGCAACAACGACTTCCAAAATAAAGAAAGTAATATTGAGTATTTGAACAGGTGTGATTTTAATATGGCAATTTCGTTTGCAATACACGACGGTGGAAGATATCAATGCATCGTGTCTTGGTATTGTGTTATTACAATCTTTAATGTGTTGCTAAGCAAAAATTCGGGTTTGGGAGAGGGGGTTGCACTAACTTGCTCGCAGAGGAGAAGCTTTATTTATGATTGAGGAATTACTGGTAGTCCGGAGGCCTTTCCAGTTTCACAAGGACAGTTGGGCGAGCAAGGGCTCAGCCAGAAGTAGCGGTATTTGCCAAATCCTGACGTACCCGAGCGCCTCCATAGGAGAAGTATTTTTATCAAGCAATGTTTTAAATTTTTTGGTTATTTTTTAAAAGGCCTTGACATATCAATTAACAACTAGAGGTCCTCCGCAAGTCGAAATTCGACTATAATTAATTGAAATTATAAGTACACTATTATCATTCTATTGTCAAAGGCTATTATTATACTTCTATAACACCGATTTCGCTAAGACTACACTTTAGACAAATATTAATAAAAACAAACAATATTTAATCTATTCTCAATTTGACCACAGACCATAAGCATTAAGAAAAGTTTGACAATAAACAAATAGTATGCATGCGTGAGTGTGTGTGTGTCAACTACATGGTAGTGTGTATAATGTTTTTATTTATTGATTTAGTGTATTTTTAAGCATAATTAAAAAAATATAGGATTCTGCACTCCTCTATATTCTCTATAAGTATGGACAATTTTATACTACTCCGACGGCGCCATTTTCGTAAAAAGGGTACAAAGTATTTGCTTCAAGTATTAATATATAGATACCAATTTTACGTTCGAATAAAGATAAGAATAAGGAAAAAAAATCACAATTTTCAAAATATAAACCCCTCTTTTTTTGGAAACGCAACCATCTCGACCCTTCTCTTTCATCTCCGCGCTATGCAACACTTTTTGTTTCGTCCCTAAAATATAAGATAACTAAGTTGATATTTATAAACAATAAGAATGTAATGGGATAAATTATAATATAAAATAATGGAATAGGAATCAACGGTCCGCTGTGACCATCACTATGTTATTGCATAAAAACATAAATTACTTATTTTAAAAAAAAAGCTCGCCCTCTTTCGTACTTTGAGGAACCTTTCCTTAAATGCTAACAACTAATGACTGTTTCAAAGCTCATCACAATATGACGCACGTTAAAGGAACGCGTAAAAGACAAATAATTCATCATCTGTATTGATAAGAAAAACGATCAGGACATTCTATACGAACAAATGAACAACCAAACTATATAATGTATATTATTAATTATATTATGTTTTTTTTTTATTGCTTAGATGGGTGGACGAGCTCACAGCCCACCTGGTGTTAAGTGGTTACTGGAGCCCATAGACATCTATAATGTAAATGCGCCACCCACCTTGAGATATAAGTTCTAAGGTCTCAGTATAGTTACAACGGCTACCCCACCCTTCAAACCGAAACGCATTACTGCTTGACGGCAGAAATAGGCGGGGTGTTGGTACCTACCCGTGCGGACTCACAAGAGGTCCTACCACCAGTGATTACGCAAATTATAATTTTGCGGGTTTGATTTTTGTTACACGATGTTGTTCCTTCACCGTGGAAGTCAATCGTGAACATTTGTTGAGTACGTATTTCATCAGAAAAATTGGTACCCGCCTGCGGGATTCGAACACCGGTGCATCGCTACATACGAATGCACCGGACGTCTTGTCCTTTAGGCCACGACGACTTCAAAGACCTTCATAGCAATGTAAACATTAAAGCAATAAGTAAAATACACAATTCAGAAACATGTTAAAATAATCGTTTTACGCTTGTGCAATGCATCCACTGGGATTTTCCCGGGCACATGAACATGGTCATATGGAAAAAGTTGCATAACGCATAAAAAAACGTTTTTTTTTTTTAAAGTTATTTTTGTATCGTGTGATCTGCAATGAGCATGATGAGCTAACTGTAAACAGGTGTGCTGTGAGATCTGGCAGACTGAATGTCCTCTAGCTAGGGCAGATCCTCATCAATAGGTCGTCTATACTAGTATTATAAAGAGGAAAGATTTGTTTGTTTGTTTGTTTCGAATAGGCTCCGAAACTACTGGACCGATTTGAAAAATTCTTTTTCCATTAGAAGCCGACATTGTCCCTGATGAACATAGGCTACTTTTTTTTGTTTTTTTTTTATTTTATTTTTTTGGTTTCATGTGCGTTTTAATGTTTCCGAAGCGAAGCGAGGGCGGGTCGCTAGTATACATATATAAATATTCTTTCGGTTTGTCCGTTTATTACAGCTCCGTGTTCTTTCTGTAATCGCAAATTCATTTGAACGTCTTTTCAGTCAGCCCTGATATGTCTCATAGTTTCATGGTTTTCCTCTTATAAATTGTATATTCCTAATTAATGCGGTATTTCCGCGTTTCTAACAAACCGCGGGTCATTGTATATATTTTTCGGTATAATATTCTGTATTCCCTGTATTAGTTGGACGCTGTGGCAGGCGCTTTTAAATAGTTGCGAACAAATCATGCATAGTCATACGACCCCAAATTAGGGTTCCCTGTGTTAAGGGTACCAGCGGAGAGACTCATAGTGACGGGTAAAGTGGATGGAAGACGATCCAGAGGTCGTAGCCGAAAAAGATGGAGTGACCAAGTGTCTGAGTGTCTGGACATGAGACTGAGCCACGCACTTCACTGTGCAACTGACCGACATAAGTAGCTAAAAATTACAAAAAAAGGTCACAGGCGGGCGCATCACGATGCTCAGCAATGAGCGATCGACTGAAGGAGGAGGAGTGTTAAGGGTACCAGAGAATGATGTTTGCCCGATGTGGAAATCGAATCCACGATCATCGAAGCAGCAGTCCGCGGCGCTAACTACGGCACCACCGAGTCACTCGTTACATGCAACAATTGCTGATTATTATGTCAGTACAATGCTGATGGTCTTAACAAAGTTCAAACACGATCTCGTATGAATACATGCAGATTTCGAAGCAATTCATAGTTTTAACAGGAATTACGCCCAGAGCTACACATATAAACAATATCATCGTTCCTTGGACGAAATAAGAGCATATCTACTCAAAATCACACACTTCAATCGAGCCAGAAAGAAAGAAAGAACCGCTTAAATTTGAGTGGCAGGACGTCATGCAACTCTTGTGGCTTCATCATGTCATCTACAGTCAACTACAGTATTTATATACCTAGAAAAGAGACTTTACAGGAGAATATAACGTGGCGAATAACTGCAGCATTCAGGTTTACGACTATGTTAGGTAGTCCGACCGTTTTCGGAGCGCACTGCGGTACCGTAAGTTTCGTGTAGTCGGTTTGGTGGAGCTCGATGGGGTTTAGTCGGTAGTCGTTCTGCGAGGCAAGTGCTTCGCGCGTATTTTTCAAGGGGTAGTCTCCTGTGAAAAATTGAGGGAGGTGAAGGACCTCGGCCCTTCTCATCTCCCCTTCTTCCTCTCAGGAGGCGCCGGAGTCCGACATAACCCGGTCCGTTACCCCCCTCGACCAGGTATCCGTAAATGGATTACCCAGCGTTAAAAAAAAAAAGGTAGTCCGACCGTACAATGCGACAATGCATTCCATTCACAAATCATGTGAAATGAGTGAAGTACACACAACCAATAGTGTTTTGATGAGAGCGCATTGTTACTAATTAAACGGTGCTCGAAGTGTCTCAGAAGCCGCTGCGTCCAAGGATGTTATAAATAAGATCCATCCGTATTTCGTGGCGTTCGTCTAGCCACATTTCTCGGATATCGATTAGTGAGCTACCTTTCATTATTTTTTTTATTGCTTAGATGGGTGGACGAGCTCACAGCCCACCTGGTGTTATGTGGTTACCGGAGCCCATAGACATCTACAACGTAAATGCACCACCCACCTTGAGATATGAGTTCTAAGGTCTCAAGTATAGTTACGACGGCTGCCCCACCCTTCAAACCGAAACGCATTACTGCTTCACGGCAGAAATAGGCAGGGTGGTGGTACCTACCCGCGCGGACTCACAAGAGGTCCTACCACCAGTAATTACGCAAATTATAATTTTGCGGGTTTGATTTTTATTACACGATGTTATTCCTTCACCGTGGAAGTCAATCGTGAACATTTGTTGAGTACGTATTTCATTAGAAAAATTTGTACCCGCCTGCGGGATTCGAACACCGGTGCATCGCTATATACGAATGCACCGGACGTCTTATCCTTTAGGCCACGACGACTAAATGGAATAAATGGAATGAATAAAGTATGGAATATTTTAGTTTCACTTTAGTGATCGAATCGTTTACGATTCAACCGCATTAAGACAAGACAACTCAAAGGCGTCTTTCCATTATCTTTGTAATTATTTAAGCCAGATCCTCTTGAATTCTAGACCGTCAATTAACCAAAAGTCTTCCCTGATCAGGCGCTCAGTTCGGCAGAATTTAGACTACGTGGATCCGTAATGACTCCATTTTTAAGTCGAATCCAAAAAACGTAAAATCACCATTAACATTGGGAAATAAAAGTAGGGTTGTTCGCATAAAATTAAGCATAAAAATTAATTAACAAATCAACTCTTACCATTTCAAACGCGCCCGCTTTTTCGACAAGGTTGTACAGATCTTTTACAAACCTCATAAAAAGCAACAACAGAATTAATACCCGCTATTGTTATAAAACTGAATCTATCCACTTTCGGCTTAGGGTCATCAACGCTATAGTTTTCTCAAAGGCTATTAAGGACCTTACAGATTCTTAAATCAATTTATTAATAACACGTAAATTCGTCATTTAAAATAATTAAGTCAATAAATAATAGGGATTTTTAACGACAAAACTTACGTCTTACGAATTCAACGTTCCAATACACGAGTATAAGTAAAACTGCATTTACCTACATATACATTACAGTGACGTTGAATGCGCCAAACGTAGGTAAAGTCCCTTGAATCCAACAACAAAACGAACGCATATCTTAATGTTTTATTTATCGATCTCCTTATCAAATATTCAACACGTTCGAACCGCTTGAATGTTTTTTTCAAATTAAAGGATATAATAAGATTATTATTTTTTAAGACTGACGTAAATTGTACACGTTGGCATTTTCATAGCGTGCCAAAAAAGTTTTATTGGTCCTTTTTTCACGCAACAAAAACGATATGACTTTTCGTATAGATTTATGAATGAAACAGTGAGAAAATTAATAAAATACATTTTTTCACATATTATTTCATGTTGTTTTAAATCAATTCGATATTTTTTTTACATATTATATTTTAAATTCTGGCACTGATTGGAAAAGTAAAAGGCGATGAAACTAGTGTTTCTTTGTAATAAATGTAAATAATAATTCTAATATCGTCTGTATAATCGAGTAGGATTTCTCCGTTTTTTTTTTGGTTCGGAATTCAGTTTTTTTGTCTCAAAAGTTACATTATTGGATATTAAGTAAGGATCCCTATTTTTTTTCAAAAAAGATATGTCACTCGGAAATAGTGTAGCTTCCGAACAGTAAAATAATTTTTCAAATCGGTTCAGTAGTTTCGGAGCCTATTCAATACAAAAAACAAACAAATCTTTCCTCTTTATAATATTAGTATAGAAGTATAGATATCATCAAAGATTTGTCAAGCCCAAAAATTATCTCGGGATAGTGTTCTCGCCTGAATCCTGACCCTATCTCCTGATTTGACTACTAAGTGACCAGTGGGACGAATCGAGGAGGGAGATTCAAGAAAATTATGTGTAATCTGTACTACGCGTCTTCTCGAAGAGCAACCAGGTGACAAATCAACACTCGACTTCCACTTGAACCACCTGGGCATCGTTCGCCATCAAAACCAAGAAGCGCGGATAATCACTACATAGTATAAAGCAAAGTCGCTTTCTCTGTCCCTATATCCCTATGTATGCTTATATCTTTAAAACTACGCAACGGATTTTGATGAGTTTTTTTTAATAGATAGAGTGATTGAAGAGGAAGGTTTATATGTATAATAACATTCATTAAATAGTGGAGAAATCAATAATAAATTACAGTTTCCGAAGCGAAGCGAGGACGGGTCGCTAGTTTTCAATATATCGAAACAAAACAGACACCAAATTCATAACGCTTATTGTTGACATAAAATTCATCAAATATTTAAAAACAGCTATTTTATCCATTGACACAACATACTACAAGTCTCGAGATAGGAGAATGATATCAGATCTATGCACATCCGGGCGTTCGGGCTTACGTGATTATTGCAATTGCGTTCACAATTGGCAGTGAGTTGACAATGTACAGCCATAATAAATACTATCACACTATTCATCGGAGGAAGAGCGCCAGCTAGATGGGTGGACCAACTCAAGGAGGTGACTGGAGGCCAGATTAAAGGAGCGGTACATATGGCGCAGAGCCGGACCGAGTGGAGATGATTGACATACAGTCACGATCCTCAGCATTGAGGGAACAACCAGAAAGAATTCATTGATTAATACAGTGTTTCCATCTAAAATTTTTTTCTTGATATTTTTTATTTATTCCACTTCATGCACATTAATAAATTTAAGTAGTAACAGATACCATATAATTTAATACTGTTCATTTAAATAATGATGAATATTATAATACAAAAATGTATTATAGTAAGACATAATAAATATACCTAACATATACAATTCCATCCCGAGACACTGATTTAATAACAATTCTGAAGAATTTACCTATCACCACTAGGCAAACTCTGAATTTGAACAAAGAATGCTCAGTGATAGTACTGATCTCAAGAGAAAACGAATATTTTAGTTTTTACTCAGTATGCTTACAAGTGGAGGATACTTAGGAATTAACACTTACACAATCTCCAAGCTTAAAATGTGCTTTGAAAGCCATGTTAGCCTCCGCTGGTAGATCTTTCATTGCTTCCTCTATTTGTGTATTATCTAAAGAATTCTCGCCATTGTGAATGCCATTACATTTTAAGTCCAAGCTAGAGCCCGGTGACGTTCCGAGGATTATAAAAGATTCATCATCATGATTTTCTAATTTAGCTGCCATCATTTATCTGTAGAGAAATGATAAAATGATTATCATTCGGGCCTGAGACATTCTTTCCAGTTATGTGTTATACTATATACAGCTATTACCCTAAATTAAGATATCATAATCTCAAGGCAGGACACTGCATGTCTATGGGCCATTAATAACTTACAATAATCATTCATCAATTCAAAATTAAACATATCATTTATTATTTATAAACAATTAATTTAGTACTCCATATAACTTTTTATCTGCAATAAATTTAATGCGCTTAATTGTAGTAATGCAGATCTGAGTGGACAGCAATTTCTTAATCGTTAAACATGTGATCAATAGTGAAAGTGTTGGTGAGACAAAACTTGAGAAAAAGTGGTCTATTGTATCATCATTCAGACCTTTGTATCATTCAGCCTGATATTATCTAAAACTATGAGATGAAATACGTCCACAAATTGATTAGTGCTGCAGATTTTTTCTGAAGCACCTGCATCTCAGCTATGTTAATGTCTGCACTGATATAAAAATAACTACCTACAATAAATAAGTGTATTCAGAATAATCATCAAATGGCCAATATTTATTTTGTACAGTTTACATTTCTAAGAACTTAATATAAACATTATTCTTATAATACATTTTACACTATTTATAGGTACTTAAACTTAGCAGTAATTTGTAAATTTGTAATCATTTAATGAAAATAAGATAATACAATCAAATTACCTTCGACAATGGGTAGCGAAAATCTTTCATTTAAACATAGATAAAAACAAGTTTTATTTTAATGGCGTTAAATTTTAGTTTTTTAATACGCAACGCAAACAGGTGATTTGCAGTAATCGCGTATTAACACTTCACAAATGTCAACAAAACAACATGTAAATTCAAAACAACTATTTGTATCTTATTTTGATTTGGAAAACTATGTTGCGAATAGTACCTACGGTACGGTAGGTTCCTACTTGATGAGAAAAAAATCACGTCTGACGATATAATATTAGGCAATGCAATAGGCATGGACATAAACATCATCATAGTGAAAAGCTCTGCTAAAAGCTAATAAAATATACGTATTTCCAACAAATATGCTTAATTTCATTCAGTTTCCTATACTAAACTTTTTAATTTCATTATATTCAATAAATTCTGTAATTTAGATCCAAGCTTGTGTAATTCTTACTTATAATTAATAACGACAATTTAAGATGAAACGCAGAAAAATTGTGTACCTGCAGTTTTTTTTTTTTCCTACCTAAGCTGGTAGCCTGGAGCGGCTATTCCAGCGTAACCGTAACTAGTAGGTGAGCTCACGGGGCTCAAACCTGACGACGATGCTAACACGAACCCTAGCAAGAGTCGTGCTTCGCAGAATCTACCACCGGATCGGAAACGCGACCCACTGAGAAGATCCGGCGAGAAACTCAGTGGGCTGTGTCTGAGAGTTAATTTACTCGTCGAGCCCTTCGTCGCAAGCGACGGGTTCGATGAGAACGGTGACCGGTGCTTGAAGTACCTAGAAGCACCGTTAGTGGATCGGGAGGATCCGAGATGACGTGTTTTGGGCGACGTCGACTGCTTTCCATTCTTTCCGCAGGATCGGGACCTGTAGTTATTGTTAATGTCAAGTTTATAAATAAAATTTATCCAGTTACAATACCTAAAAATTTAAAATTTAACAGGATTCGAGAAAAAAATTATTCCGTTTGAGTTTTTAAGCTAAACGAACTTTTAGGGAGAATTGGTGTTTAGTCCGGTCACCGTTCTCGTCGAACCCGTCGCTTGCGACGAAGGGCTCGACGAGTAAATTAACTCTCAGACACAGCCCACTGAGTTTCTCGCCGGATCTTCTCAGTGGGTCGCGTTTCGATCCGGTGGTAGATTCTGCGAAGCACGGCTCTTGCTAGGGTTCGTGTTAGCAACGTCATCAGGTTTGAGCCCCGTGAGCTCACCTACAAACGTTAGGGTTACGCTGAAATAGCCTCTCAAGGCTCTCAGCTTAGGTAGGGAAAAAAAAAAGGTGTTTAGTTTTATGCAGTTTTCATTCTATATCTAATTTCGATTATATTATTTAGTATAATAGTTTCGTAGTGCCGAGCTTATCGTTTTCGAAGCATATTATGTGTATTAACTATGCTTTAAAATAAATAAATTGGAGACAAATCACCATCGATAAACGAGCTTTACTGAATGAGTATTTCCGTAAAAACTAACTTAATTTGATTCTAAGCTGCTACAATAAGAAAAATACTTCTAAAGAGCAAATTCATAGAACATAAATAGCAGAACAGTTGTTTCGGGTAATAGGTATTTATCATGATTTTTATTACTGACCTAATTGGATCAACAGACAATAGACCAATAGACACTGTACTGTGAATATACACCCTCCTAAGATATTAGGGTGTGGCTGACATAATAATATGGCTGACATAATAATATGTCTTTGCATCAGACAATTGAATTATTGTATCGTATAATATGTGTGTTAACTGAATTATTTTATTGGGAATACAGATAATGAGATCTGCTCAGAGAAATAACTGTGAAAACAAGCATCGGGTTAACTATTAATTCACAGAAACAAGATCTTTCTTTTAATATATATGCTTACGTGATAGTGGGTGGCCAATGTCAGTCACCGTGTATGGCAAACCATGGTCACAAAACAATACGTCTTGTCACTTAGGACTCTTTTCGAACTTAGTTTTAAGATGATTATGTTTTAGCACATAAAAAATGAAAAACAATAATTTCAAGTAATTGTACAGACTCAAGCAAGAGCAAGATCAAGCATTTCACTTTGTTATGTCCGCTATAACAAAGTGCAATGGGAGTGTTGATTCTGGAAAATGGCTATAGGAAATCAACTACAACAAGAACAATAATATCATTGTCGTCATTTCTTGAGAAGTTAAATATGAATATAAGTTGACAAAATGCCATGAAATAGGTAAGCTTACAAAATAAGCTAGCTTTATATTCGTTATTAAGCTCTAGCTATTTATCGCAACTCTATCTCGTACCAATGTGTTCAGTGGTCATGTCAACGCACTGAAGTATTGTCAGCGCTATTACTAAATGTCAATAATAATTCCGTCATGAATGTCAATCATCAATGTATTCTATAGATAACAAACTAAATCAGTCAGGTTCATAGATTATACACTTAATATATTGTCAGGTTCAGTCTGCTTGTCAATGTCTAATAGTGATCTTGTTAGTGCTTTGGTATATTTCCATCCTCTTAAAATTTATTTTAATTCCTGAAAGAAATGTCTAATGACAACGCTTTGGATTTACATCATGTGCACCAATGCTTTCAACGGAGCCTCAAAGAGGAGGACGACGTTGTCATAGAAGCATACATAGACGGTTATAATGAACTGGTTAAGTAAGTTTGTTTGTATATCTTTTGTTGCCATATGGATCGTCAATTATTCGTTTTGAATATTTTTCAGTTCCGTAATGTAATGGAAGAATGGACCGATGAAGATAATTAATTTAAAATGTTTACATAGTCGTAATTTTTTTTTTTTTATAATTTTTTTTATCATTCATAATATAATAATATAATACTCATATTTATCATTCGATATTTATCGCCACGTTGTATTGTTTTTAATAAAAGTTTAAATGCTGTAATATCTACCATATCTTATCATTTCAATTAGATTGCACTTTCATATTTATCAATCTCTTGTAATCTGCTGATAATGACCCAGTATAATTCTGAGGGTCGACATTTTAATTGAATATTTGTTTAAGCCAAGAGAAATCCCCAAAACGAGGCTCATTTAGATTAGAACCAATTACTTTAATCGAAGCTTACATTTTTTTATATTTTGGCGCATCTCACGAATTCCTCAACTCCTAATATGCTAGGATATTAAGGCTTGCAGAGGATGGCTTATTGATAATTGATGAAAAATGCAAACATAGGCCCTCATGGAATTCTGTGCCCAGTTCTATGCCAATCTTGATGCCAGTATGCACATAAGAGCAGCCTTTTCATTTCACTCCATAACAAGAATGTCTGACAATACAAAAATTAACAACTTTAAAAATATTATTTCCAGATTTCTAAATTTAATCGGTACAGTATTTTCGTTTGTGAGCAGTGATGTCAAAAGTAAAATAAAAGTGATGGAGAAACATCGTGAAGGCGAAAATGCAGTTTATTATGAATCATTTAAGAAAATGATGACATATGAAAAGGATGCCAATTTGCATGAAAAGAACGGTTTTGTATCAGGCTCCAGAACAATGCTCCGTTTGCATAGAGGATTGGGTGTGTATACCTAAAGTTTTAAAAATGTACCATCAATTGTCACACTAATAAAGAATCAAATCATCATGCATTTGACGAATACTTGCACTCATACAGTATATAATTTTTGAAAAAATATGGTGCTATTACGATGATCTGATCAGTGTGTAAATTTCATTAACAGTCATTAATTACTCCTCATATTTGTAGAAGAAGAAGCCAGGTTACAAATTAGCACAAATACAAATACTACATAAAAGATTCAAGTTCATAAAAGAGTAGTAATTATATGCTAGCAATACAAGATATAGTTTTGTTTCTGTAACTATTGCCAATGACATGTTGGTTGATGCATCTTACTACTGTATAATGATTTGTGGATGTTCTTGTGATATGATGATTACCTAGAACATACTGAGTCTTATAACATATGTGTATTTCAAATATTGCTAAAAAAAACACCCTTCCTATTTTGTCTGCAATGCAATCATGCAGTCTGATTCAAAGGGTGCAATCGTTATGACATAATTCTAATCAGACTTTGACTTTATGTTTTGGAATGAGTAGCAGAAGTGAGCTTATCTATTCCGTCTAAGCCTAAAAATAGTAGTTGGATCTCAATAGTATAAAATTAAAAAAGATTTGAATTAAAAAAATCCTCCAGATTTCATAAGAATGTTCCTGAAGCGTCTCGGTGAAGCAGATGAAGCCATGAACACGTGTACAACATGTCAAGGGACTTATAATGAGACGTTAGCGGAGTTCCATCCCTGGTATATAAGGAAGGCGGCAACGTTAGCCATGCATGCGCTTCCGTCGCGACCAGATTTATTGAAAAAGGTAAATAAAAATTTAGTTAAACATAGTTGGTATTTGTTATTCGAAACACAATAAAAGCAAATGAATCAGGATCCAAATGATATTACCGTTACCTTACATGTATCTTATGACTGGATTTGGACACAAACCTGTCGATAATCCTCAGTAGAAGCGATCCCTTGCGACGAAGGGATCGGTGAGTAAATTAACCCATAGACAGCCCACTGAGTTTCTCGCCGGATTTTCTCAGTGGGTCGCGTTTCCGATCTGGTGGTGGATTCTGCGAAGCATGGCTCTTACTAGGGTTCGTATTAGCAACATCGTCAGGTTTGAGCCCCGTGAGCTCATCTACTAGCCCGGCGACGCTGACATGGTCTCCCCAGACCATCAGCTTAGGTAGAAAAAAAAAGGCGATGTCCACTAGCGATGGCACAAGCATAGATCCAGAGAACAAGCAACATTACTTGCCTACATACACAATAATTCAGTGAGACGATAGAATTTGCGGTAGGCCTTAAATCTCAGAATCGTACCATAAAGCAGCTTTTTTTTTTTAATGCTTAGATGGATGGACGAGCTCACAGCCCACCTGATGTTAAGTGGTTACTGGAGCCCATAAACATCTACGACGTAAATGCGCCAACCACCTTGAGATATAATTTCTAAGGTCTCAAGTATAGTTACAACGGCTGCCCCACCCTTCGAACCGAAATGCATTACTGCTTCACGGCAGAAATTGACAGGGTGGTAGTACCTACCGCGCAGACTCACAAGAAGTCCTAGCACCAGTAAACCAACATATAATCAACAAACCAACATATAATATAACCAGTGCCAACTTATAATCATTATTTGGGAGCACTATTCTCTGAAATAGCGCCGAAATACGCAAAAACCAAGTAATAAAACAAAGGAACTGATCTGTGACAGCCGTGTTTGTTTCAATAAACAATATATTTTAACGAGACAGTATTTTACTTACAGCTGAATAAATACTATGATGAACAGTGCAATGTAGCCTAGTTAGAGTGTTCATACAAAAAAACTGTTCGCGTTTTTCAAGCTTTTCTCTACCTATTTCCTGGTAGCCTGAGGGGCTATTTCAGTTGTGCTTTGGGTAGTAGATAAGCTCACGGGAATCAGGCTGAGAGAGTTTGCTATCACTGGTCCTGGCAGGAGCAGTGTTTCGCAGAATTTAGCACCGGATCGGAATCGCTACCTAACGAGAACATCAGGCGAGAAACTCAGTGGTTTGTGTCTATGAGTTGCACATTGCTTCGTGGCTATCGACGAATTCGAGAAATCACCGAAAGTGGATTGAGAGGGTCCTTGTCTAGGGTGACGACTGGCCCGTAGGTCATTTGGATCCGGAATGTAACTTGCGTTGGGTACGATAAGCGCCCTGCGGATTCCTCGTAGAAGACAGCGTAGAGTCCAGTGTGGTTAGTACGAGTTTTTTAAGGTTCTCGATAGCGTAAAAGTTAACTCAAATTTGTATGGAGTTCGAAAGTTTGCCTACGTTTGCCGCTAGGGGCGCTGTTCCAACTGCATACAAATTTGAATTAACTTTTACGCTATCGAAAACGTTAAAAAACTCGCACTAAGTACACAGGTATTTAGTTATCGGTTGTGAAATAGTTACAACAGTTCATAATAAGTTGGAAGCAACAGCAGATTACAGCAGCTTCAAGACAAAAATAAAGTAAAACCAGCACAACTAATCTGTAAAGAATTTGACGTTTCCCACAAACAGTAGGTACCTACATTAATGATTCTTTGATTGCCATAAAAAAAAAAAGATGATTCTTCGTCACTTGTGATTCGTCTCAAGGTCTTCAATAATCGCTGAGCACTTAAAAAATAAACGCCATTTATTGTTCTATCGCCTTTATTGATTCAATGATAAGATCGTAACATGATGTCGTGTTAATAGCGCGATAGTTTATACAAATTGATAGAAAATTTCACTAGCGGTGTCGAATGTAAAATTGCGACAAGCACAAGGTCGCACACATTCGTTTTTGAGAGAATTCACCCACCATATACAAGTTTATTTGGGTTATTTGTCGTTCTGATTCCGGATTCGACCCATGACAAATTTTAACTCAATTTTAATGCTTCTGGCGTGTTTACGGAAACTATAGACACAACCGTCTGAGTTTCTCTTTGGTGTCGTCTTTAGTGAGTCGCGATTCCGATCCCGTGGTAGAATATGCGAAGCACTGCTCTTGCTGGGGTCAGTGTTAGCAAACTCTCAGGTCGAACCCCGTAAGTGCTCTGAGGAATTGTTCGAGATGATACCGGCATCTCGTTTTTACCATCGCACCGCCCGCCACAGGAGTAGAGTTCATCCATACTACCTGGAGCCACGGCGGTCATCCACAGTGCGTCAGAGGTCTTTCTTGCCACGTACCATCCGGCTATGGAATGAGCTCCCCTCCACGGTGTTTCCCGAGCGCTATGACATGTCCTTCTTCAAACGAGACTTGTGGAGAGTATTAAGCGGTAGGCAGCGGCTTGGCTCTGCCCCTGGCATTGCTGAAGTCTATGGGCGACGGTAACCACTCACCATCAGGTGGGCCGTATGCTCGTCTGCCTACAAGGGCAATAAAAAAAAAAGATCATCTACCAGCCATGCGTAACAGGAATAGCCCCTTAGGCTACTAGCGAATAGGTAGGAAGAAAGAAGGAAGACAGAAGAAAGAAGGAAGAACATATCAGATTGTATTTTAGCATGTGACGATGTCGTGGTTGTTGTAGCGATTGTAAAGATTGTATATCATGTTTTGAGACTATACGTATTATTTATGAGTCAATTAAATTTTGTGAAATCTGACTTGGCAAATAATTCTGTTACGTCACAGAAGTATAACTTCTCACGTGCGTAGATTAAAACTCGGCTTTATTAAATAAATCATATCCCTAAAAATATATATGTACGTAACATAATTTATTTAGTAATCATAAGTAATATATCACACAGAAAAAATAATAGATTTTTATCAATTACGTACAGTTTGAGATAGACATTTTTTAATAATGGATATGAATCAAGGATTTATATGTAATAAACGGATATATTATGTTATGTTGCTAAAGATGATGCTCCATGATGATACATATGTATTTCAACGTATTATAAAATATATACAACAAATAATAATTAATATAATTTAAAAATTAGTGCAAGCAGTCCCGAAATCTATTTACAAATGACGTGCAATTAATATTTACAAGAAATGTGTAAACAAGAGCGTAATTCGCTATCTCTCTCCCACTTCTCCTTCTTTGTTGGTGTTGTGTTGTCTTCTTAGTTTTTTTTTATTGCGCTTGTAGGCAGACGAGCATACGGCCCACCTGATGGTAACTGGTTACCGTCGCCCATGGACTTCAGCAATGCCAGGGGCAGAGCCGAGGCGCTGCCTACCGTTGAGTACTCTCCACAAGCCTCGTTTGAACAAGGATATGTCATATCGCTCGGGAAACACCGTGGAGGGGAGCTCATTCCAAAGCCAGATGGTACGTGGCAAAAAAGATCTCTGGAAGTGCACTGTGAATGAACGCAGTGGCTCCAGGTAGTATGGATGAACTCTACTCCGGTGGCGGGCGGTGCGATGGTAAAAACGAGATGGTGGTATATTATCTCGAACAATTAAATGAATATGAGCTTCGATAACTGCTTCACGCGAAGTAAGCCGATAGGTCAAAGTAACAAAATTCATACAGACTTCTAAAAAGGAGGAGGTTCTCAATTCGACTCTGTTTTTTTTATGTTTGTTACCTCATAACTTTTGACTGGGTGAATAGATTTTGATGATTCTTTTTTTTATTAGAAAGCTGGCGCTTCTCGTGTGGTCCCATTATAATTTAATCCAATTCTAATAATGGTATCAATGAGAAAACCATATAAGTCTTAAATTTGCATTAAGTACGTGCGCGACAAATAGATTAATAACTCAACTATTGCTTTTAGTGTATATTAATTTGTTTTGGAATATCTTTTTTTTTCTATTTGAAGACGGTTTTTGTTAAAGCACATGCTTCACATAGACATCTATTTACAATTATTATTTTAATTTCAAGGTGTTCGGAACAGATGACAGCTTAACCGCCGCCATGACAGTGTTGCCACATACGCTATCCTCTTGCGACGAAGTATACAGGCGAGTCGAACAATTATATACGGACTTTGATTTCCATGGCCTACCCTAGAGACGCAGCCGCTTCATTAAAAATAAAACTAATTATTTTCTTTATTTTTTGTAAGTATTGAGTGTTTTCGAGTTTTAAAATTATATCGGCTGTGTTAATGTGCTTAAAACAATAGAATTATTTAGTATTTTAAGTTTTGTTCAGATTTATATATATATAAATAATTGTACTAGATATTAAACAAGAGCTAGGACGATTTTAGAAAAATTAAAAAAAATATAATAAATAAAAAAATGCCAATGCTTCGGTTTCGAAACTGGACGATTTTGTACAGATAACATAAATTATTCACATTATTTCCCATTTATGTGTTTACTGTAATCGATATTATTTAGTGAATGCCTGGTATGCTTAAGCTTGCATAATATTTTGATCTCGTGCGACAACGAAAACCTATTTTTAATGATAAACGTTGTGTTTAACGCTTTTTTTTGTTAAAATATTCATAAAAATGTGTATTGTGTTTAGAAACAATATTACGGCAAAGATCCATATTATGCGGAAATAAAAAAGCGGGAAAATATGCTTTAGTCAGTTACAACACTAGTGACATCTAGTGACGCACCGCTCGGACTATCGCTAATTGTTTGAAAAAACAAGTCGCCCCCCCCCCACCTGTCGTGCGTCGATGGTACTATATCAGAAGTCTAGACTGGTGTGCCAAGAACAACTGTCTTCAGCTTCATTATAATCGAATGAATTATTTAATAACACATAGAGAATAAGCATACAAAGAAATATTGTTTTTCATTGAATGAGATTTTATAATAACATATTAATATTTAATTTTGAGAAGATATAGAGTATGTCGAACTGCATATGCAGGCGGGGTAGGTCTGTAATACAATGGATATTTATAAATATTGAGGGAGTTCGTGGTTGATGTTAAACATTAGTCGATTCTAACGTGACGATTTAAAACTAAGCTGACAAAAGGTTTACGGATGTTACATTTGAGGCCTATAAAATCAAAGGCAGCTAAACGCCATAATGTCGTAAAATTGATTAACAATGGTGCTATCTTGTTTAGTCAGTTGGACACGCTTTAATGTTTTCATGTTATAACAAATGCAGCTAAATCTCTAACAAATTCAGTTCAAAAAATTTATTTTTAATCAGTACTGAGTACTAATAAATGAAGTTTTATCATTTAAAATTCAGATTATTAGTAATGTTCTCATTTTTTATAAGTCTGCTTTAATATAAAGAATATCGTAGCTATTCGAACAAAGTTATTTCAGCTTCTCAAACCGGGAGTGTTGCTAACACTGGCCCTAGCAAGGGCAGTACTTCGATGGATCGGGAGGATCCGTAATGACGTGTTTAGGGCCGATTTTTGTAGTTTACCTGAATGTTTGACATTGGCTTGGATTTAGCTGCCTTTGATTTTATAGGTCTCATTTAAGCATTGATTTAAATAGTTATATTTTAACTCTCTGCATTGAAGTTTGTTCGAAAACGGGCGTAAAACCTCAGTGTAATTATAATTAAGAAAAAAAACTAGATTAATTGTTGTAAAACTGGGCAGAGCAATAAGAGGCTTTTAAATTGCTGGTTGAATTCAATGGCATAAGTTGAGTACGTGCTGTAGTTTTTTTGAAATTTGATTTCACATGTACGGTAGCTGGGTCTGTGTTTGCGATCGATAATTTATTAGTAATAATGACCGGGTGAATTATCAGCGTTAGCTAAAAGCAGAACCGTGAGTTACAAAACGAAAAATCATAAAACCTTTAAATAGATGAGCGATAGAATAAAAGAGACTATGCTTGTACGTACTATGATAGGTCATTTATTTAGTTACATGTATAGTCATAATTAAATTTGAAGATACAGACAGTTATCACAAATGAAGGCAGTCTTGAATTTTCATTTTTCATCTTGCTAATGAATTCAAACAGCATAATATTCAACTAACTATCCTAAGCTTTTTACGTGTTACCCTTTTAAGCTCAATTGTAACAATTGCTCATAATAACGTTATGATTGTAGCTTTTGATACGAAAACAAGTTTTTTGTTTATCATTAAATGTGCAGAGTGTGGTTTGTCAAATGATAACTTGACAGATTATTCTACGATTCACGAAATAGATATATATTTTTTGGTGTATCGTAAAAGAAATGCAATATCTACAACAAAATGAAAATCTGTTAAAAATAACGAGTTTTTAGCATTTATAGATGGTATTGATGTCAACGATTTGCCCATGCAAATTCTAACGTTGAGTGAAAACGTAGCAAACAAACTTTTTCAATCCACACCAAAATTTTCAAAGATGTCAAATAAGTAAATTTAAATTTCTTCAAAATACGTATTGTACTGATATTAATTTATATTATTCTAAAGTGAATATTCTTAAGATATAAATAAATATGTTGATGTACGCTACATCATTGTACTATTGTTAAATGCTTAGAAGTTTATTCCGCTTTAACTACAATCTTAAATCACATTGTAAATTAAGGCGCTTTTTGTTATTTCATATGGACCAAAGTTTTTGAAAACTTCTATTTTGTATATTTGTATTTTTATTTTGGAAAAAATATTGTATTTTCCGAGGTAGTTTATGGGCAACCCCTTTGCTGAATTTATTGATTGATAATCTGTTGCAAGTGACATTTCAAAAGTATTGTCCGTTTACTTTATTTCTTATGTCATGTTAAGGACTTTTGGCGGGAACGCGAGGAGCGAAATTGTGTGAATTGTTTTATTTTGTCTATTTAGTGTTTCTTCACGTTGAGATGTGGAATAACGATGGCTTATTAACTGTTCAGTATCTGTGAAAGTGCACAAATGTGAGAAAATTAAACAAAGCCACTGGAAGTAGCTTCTCGAGATCCTCCTAAAAAGTCCACTGAAAAAGTGTCAGTAAATAACCACCATTTTACTGAGATAATATTCATTTTTTCATAAGGAAAATTGTAAAAGATTAGGCTGTATGGTATGATATCCTTGCCTTTCTAGTTGGAAAAATAGAACTACTACTACTGTCATGTCAAGCAATTCGTCAGACGTTAATGAAAATAAAATTATATCAAAATCGTTATGTACCTACCTATTATGGAGGGTAGAGGTAAGGAGAACCGTCTCATATGGGAGAAGCTTGAAAAAGTGTCCCACTTTCAGCACTAAATAGCAGTTCAAAAAATCTCCAGAATGACGCTAGCATAGGCACAGGGTATGATATGAATTGAGCAGTTGTTAACTGATTGAAGTATGCTGAGTTAGGAAATTTAATATATTTAATGACTAGAGTACTCCAAAGTAATTTCGTCATTATAACTTAAAATTATTACTGTGGTAAAACGCGGAGACTTCTATTGCATTTTCTTATCAGCTTTAAATATAATACTTTTTGTGATTTTGTAGTGCTTACAGTTATTTCGTCCTTTTTTATGTTTCTATCTTATTCTAATAATTTTCAGCGCCTTTTTTAAAATTTACCCGGTTGCTACTGTAGCGCCACCCTTATTTAGCAGATTTTAACGGACACTTTTCACACACAGAGACGGCTCTCCTTACCTCTACCCTCCATATTGCAGACGCTAAGTACCGTACATATTGAAAATAAAATTACTTTCATCAAAATCGGTACCTACATAGGTAGTCTTGCAATAATAGAAAAAAAAAGAAAAAATTCTAGCTTCACTAAGGAATATATTTTCATTTTTCCTTTTAGTCTAGTTCTTTATGACGCCCTGATTTTTACGATTATTTTTTATTTATTTATTAGGGAATGATTTATTAAGGTATTTATGAAATATTTATGAAGACATCATAACACTACTTTACGCAATGTGCAATATAAAATTTTTCTCGCATTTTATAAAAGATTAGTCTGTTTCCTTCAAATTTTGCAATTTTGCTAAATGGAAATCATGATCCCGAATTTGTTTTAAAGGAACGATCAGTAACAAATAAGTTAGTTGCTCAACAATTAAAGTTCAATTTAAAAGTTGAGATTTACTAAATCTGTTACCATGAAATATTTAAGCGTTAGAGCTTGTGGATTTATGTAACAGCTAATAATTTTACATTTTATTGTATTAACATTCCATATGTTATAATGGTCCTTTGTAATGAGATTTTTTATTACATGCGAAATAAAATATTTTATAAATTTTACTGATGTTTTATTAAATAAATAAAAATTAGTTATGATCTGAAGACTGAGGTACAACTCGACCAAGCTAAGTTTGCACCTCGCATTGATTACGTCACACTGCCGCTTAGGTATGGTCTGAAAAAAGGATTCGCTATGACTTTAAAAATGTAAACAAATATTTGTGGAATGAGACGTTCGCTCCTGGCCTTTTCATTTTCGTTTCCATCTTTCATTATTATTATTTTTTTAACTTGTTTTTTCGTTTACTGTAAATATTTTTACTTATTTAAAAAAAAAAAGATATTTGAGAAAAACAAAAAAAAAGCCCGCTGAGTTTGTTTCGCCGGTTCTTCTCAGGACTATGGCTTTTATTGGAACCGGTGGTAGAGTTAACATTTTCATTTATATTTTGACATTCAACAAGTGTGTTATGCTGACATCCAAGTTGAAATAAATGATTTTGAATTTGAATTTGTTAGATTTTGTTTTGCATTTATTGTTTTTAACAATATATTATACATAGGTACATTAGAGTATAGCGATATCGGGTGTTTGTATTAAGACCACCCGGGCGCTCTTGCACTTAAAATTTGTATCCCAATTGCTCAGTAATCATTTTCAAAAAACGTTAAGCGTTCAGTAACATCAGTTCAACAAAAATGGTCCAATAATATAACTAAACTTCAACAACAAACTTAACAAGAACAGTTAAAAAATTTAAAATTCAACAGATAGAGTGACGAAAACTCGTATGACGCGCGTCGGCGACAAAGATGCTAACCGTATTGACGCGACAGGGCGATCGCGGGAAGGTGAGCGGGGAAGCGGGCGGAGCGCCACATTCCAGCGAGGTGCAAACTTAGCTTGGTCGAGTTGTACATACGTTTACAAATGCAATTGAGTTTGACTCTTACTCTGAAAGTGGGTGAAAATTTTAATTACATCAATAAACATAAGACAAAGTATTAAAAAAAATAATGTCTGAATTGAAGGAGTACTTCTTATAACTTTTTTTTTTATTACTTAGATGTGTGGACGAGCTCACAGTCCAAGTGGTTACTGGAGCCCATAGACATCTACAACGTAAATGCGCCACCCACCTTGAGATATAAGTTCTAAGATCTCAGTATAGTGTTATCGAGCAACACTTCCGGCCTCACATAATAAATTATTTACGAACTTAGGAAATATATAGAACTTATTATTCTAATAATATAATTAGTAATTTCATAATCAAGTAAATAGTTCATTCATATTTCTTTATACTTATAATATTTTATTGGCGCCTTCCGCTTGACAGCTTCCGGCGCAATAAGCCTTAATGTTATTTGTTACATAATTCGATATTATTAAATAATAATTGTACGTAAATAATCAGCAGAATAATTAAGATGAACAATGTTTAATATTNAGCAGAATAATTAAGATGATCAATGTTTAATATTACCTACTCAGTTTGTATTAAAATAGGTCAAGATGATTGTATAAATACCGACGGTTAGCATATCTCTGTTGCATTCGTATTCTACCCACCGTAATGTGTACTAAAGAGAATATATTATTTCGTGTGGATGTAAATTGTCTCAATTGTCGCCGCCACCCTGAGGATCCGTTTATAATACGTTTACAAATGCAATTGAGTTTGACTCTTACTCTGAAAGTGGGTGAAAAATTCCATTACATCAATAAACATAAGACAAAAGTATTACAAAAAGTAATGTCTGAATTGAAGGAGTACTTCTTATAACTACTTTGATGTTTTGCAATTGTCTGTTAGCCTATTGATATTATTCCCATAGTTCATTTTGTTCAACTTATGAAAAATTTGAAATATTTTTTACCTAATCATAGAAACTAGGACAAAAGAAAGATGCCAAAAATAAAAATAAAACAATCTGATATTCAATAATTTATTCAACTTTTCCAAATCATAAAATCTTGCAAGGAAAATACAGAATACATTACTGTAATAGAATTAAAATCAACAAAACAATGTCTGCGTGAAATGCAACTTGCAAACTACACTGGACCAAAGTCATATTAAAAATTATAATAAAATATGTGAAAAATTTTTCTAGCACTATTATAACATTCTTTTTAATTAAGATTACATAGGTAAACTGTTGCTCTTAAAAATAAATAATGAATTTAATATATTTATTGATGTATCTCTTGAGTATCCAATAAATATGTACAACAAATGTCAGGCATATAAAGTTCCTGAAGCACTAACATAAAACTAGCAACTTGAAGTAAACTGATATCTGTATCCTTTAATTAAACATTTAATTTCAGTTTACCATTTTGATAAATTACATGAACAGCAAATATAACACAGCCGCTGCATTAAAATATTTTCATATCAACAACTTTAATCACAACACTAAATTAGTCAATAAATAATAAAGCATTTTTGTATCAATAATAATGTACTACATTTCTATTGTACTTTAATTGCAAAGAAATTATGTAACAGGTAGAAAAAGAATATTCCATTACAAGTGAGGTATTTATGCATTTTTTTCTTTAATATGCAGATGAGCTTTCAGTCCCCTTGAAGAGTGTTCAAGAAAAGTTTACATAATGGAGCTTGGTGCAGTGGGGTCTTAGCGGGGCCAGTAAAGAGGGAAAAGAGTAATCATAACTGAAATATTATAATTTAAACTTAGCCTCATTTGAAGTTAGATATGTCACATTATTCATTCCAGACATATAACACACAATATAAACACAAAGTCAATTCAAAAGCAAAATCTATTTATTTCTGCTGATTTGAAATACAAATTGAAATGGATTTCAAAATAACGTGTGTAAAAGCAATTTTTGCAAAAGAATAATCGAATTTTATGCTACTGATGACAATACACTATTTCGGCAAGTCTACACTGTGTGAAAAGTAATGGCATCGTTTGAGGCCAGTTACCTCATGTGTAAGTTGGTTTTTGATGACATCCAATGCAAGTCAATACTTTAAATAATACATAAAATGCAATATCTTGTGTTTGTTTAACATCGGCAGAATCATCAGCAATGCCATTGTCATTATCGATTTACTGATCGTAGTCCTAGTATCGTCTCTAGCTGTGTCGCAAACGCAGTCGTACGTCCCGATCTGAACGATGGCATAGACGTTGTCCAATTAAGCCTGTATCTCACGTCGGAAATCACGTAACATCTATGAGCTCCCATAACATTTAATACCAGATACGCTGTGAGCTCATCGGGTTATCTAGAGCATTAAAAACAAACATATCTTTGTTTTTGCAGTTTCCTTTGGTTTAACTAATACACTAATTCAGCTAACGGGTTATCGGGTTGCGGACAGCGGCATGCCATTGGTGATGCCCATGAGCTACAATGACCACTCACAATCTAGCAGCCCGAATGTTTGTCAGCTTTCGGAGGTAATAAACTTTATTTAAAATCTATATCATGTGCTTGTAGTAAGGAATATGTGTTAGAACAAACCTACATAAAAAATTTCTGTCGCGAACCAGTTTCGCGTTCTTGTCTACATATAAAGGTGAATTTGACATTGAATCTCTTAGACTTAGAGGATTTTCATTTTAAGAAAAAACTAAAAGAATGTTATTAGTGAAAATTATTATCACATAAATGATTTTCTTAGGGACGACATTGAAAATAAATTGACTTTTTAATTATTAGTTGAATTATGGATGAATGAATAGTAAATTATATAATATTATAATATCTTGCACTGCACTAAAATTCGCATGTCAAATAATGACAAAGCGTACACGCTGCTTTTAATTTATGTAATAACTCATTTTCACTATGCTTGGCGAATAAAATGATTTCTTTCTTTCTTTCTATGGTAACCGCTTAGCACCAGGCGGATCGAGGACTCATATGTTCACGTATAGCACACGAATACAAAAATGCAGATGAACATCGTCTAGGAGCTGCTTGTGGGTTGGGACGGATCGTCCTGGGGGTGGCGAGGGCGGGTCAGGCCTGGGGCGGCTCGTCCAGTGGGTTGGCGGTGGGCAGGTCGTGGTGCGGCGCCGGGGGGGCGCGGGGCGACGGCGCTGACGACGCTGACGACGCCGACGATGAACTTGACGCGTCTCCCGATTCAGTACTCCCGCTCTCCCTGTACAATAACGTATTTTTTATTTCTTAGATGTGTGGCAGAAATAGCCAGGGTAGTGGTACCCACCCGCGCGGACTCACAAGAGGTCCTATCACCAGTAAAAGCCTTACTGGCCTGCAGTTACTTCAAGTGAACTTACTTATGGAACCCGTTCGTCTGACACGTGTTGTAGGCTCCGCAATGTTGACATTTCAGTCCTACGACGTGAAACTTCACCGTTGACAGCTGGAATGTCAAAACATCAATTTTAGTATAAAAATTGTAGTATCTGTGGCGAGAACGTTCGGAGCTAAATTGTACGGATTGATTTGTTTTGTTAATTTAGTGTTTTTTTTTATTAATATCGTGTAACAACGTCAGTTTATTAATCGTCGTGGGTCATTGAAAGCAGCTGGACGTAACTTCTCGGGTTCTTGCTAAAATATCACTGAATTCTCAGTAAATAACCACCATATTAGTGAGACTTTATTTCACCCAATCTCATCTTGTTTCATTTAATTCAATCCCTTTTTTTATTGCCTTTGTAGACAGACGGTCATACAGCCAGATGGTAAGTGGTCACCGTCGCTCATGGACGTCAGCAATGTCAGGGGCAGAGCAAAGCCGCTGCCTACCATTAAGTACTCTCCGCAAGCCTCGTTTGAAGAAGATTTTTTTGATCACAGTCTCAAATAAATCAACTTCACCTCATTTCATTTCTATTATTTTTGGCTCCATGTTACGTATCATGTATCATTTAATAGAATGTACAAAGAATTAGGCTGTACGGTGTGATACTTTCGTCTTTAATGTTGGAGAAACGGAACTATGACGCGTTACATTCAGTGTGCTTAGTGCTACGTTTGCCGCTAGAGGCGCTGTTCCAACTCCATACACATTTGAGTTAACTTTTACGCGATCGAGAAGTTAAAAAAACTAGCATTAAGCACAATGATGGTTGTCTGGAAGAGATCGCTCTTAGCGATAAGATCGCCAATTGTACTTTTTTTGTGTTTAATGTATCGCACTGTTTATTTGTTTTTTGGCGTACAATAAAGAATACTCTCTCTCTCTCTCTTTCTCACAATACGCGCTGCTGTCACAGGGCGATATTAGGAATTCAGACTATTTTTTTTATAAGCCTGCATTAATTTGTTAAATCTGTTTTCTTCTGTCTGCTAGTAGTATTATTAAACAAAAAAAGCACTAAACCTACATTAACCTTTCAAAGAAAGGACAATGCTCATTTTCTTAGGGCGTTTGGGCCCCTATAAAAGTTGTGGGGTCATGATGGTTTTAACTTAATTTGATAGACAAAGAAATATCGTTTCATATTCAAAAAACGATTTTTATATTCTCACCCAGGTTTAAGAGAAATCTGTTTTTTTCTGCAGCTAAAATTAAGTTGTTAATTGTTTTCTTCGAAATCAATAATCGCTCTCATCATTATTTACAGTATTAAATAAGTTAATTGTGGTTAATGTTGCTAGAAATAAGCCCTTACGTACATTTTATTATTATTATATCCTCATAATAATAATAAAATTCTAGTCACAGACAACTCTTTCGTTTGGCAGCTTAAAGGTTTACAATAAGCCTTTATGAGCTAAGCCCTTTGCCTATTGGCGAATTTAAAAACTATGGCAATCAGTTTTGGGATGTTATCAAATAAGTATTTTTTTTTTTTTTAAAACAATGCCACGTTGAAAGAAATGTTGATACATAAACTAAACAACGTGAAAAAATAAGGCATAGTTTTTCAAGTACAAATAGATTTGACATGAAGTTGGCCCACTTTTGGGCATTGTCCTTTAATTACTGTGACGGATTAAGGATTCCTTGCCTTTAATTCTTCTAGGCCTCAGGCCTAATTCCATATCATAGTATTTATTACCTTATGACAATCCTTGCACAGTATCGTGGCCTTGTAGTCGGCGTACTCGGACGGCATCGGTGTGGCCGCTACTTCGGAATCCAAATAATTCCAGAGCTGCAATAAAACAACTTCACCTTAAATACTTTTTTAGAGCGCCTGGTACCTATCCGGACATGCTAATAATAATGTAGGATTATTAAGAACGGAACGTATGAAAAGAGTGTGGAACGGAGCGTTAAGATGTGATTTAAGTGAGAGAAAACGGAAAGAAAGGGAAAAGAGAATGACAGACAGAATAACAGAGAAAAAGGAAGATGGCGAAGACGTAATAAGTGTTAATTAATTTTTAATTATTATTATAACACAAGATTTTGGGACAGTAGAAATTTTATTTTATGCGCTGCGATCCCTTTTCTATAATAATAAGATTATTATTTCCCAACATCCATCCTAAATAATTTAGAATGTAAAATTGTTGGCGTCAGGGACACTAGTCACACATTCAACATTGATGCATATGGCAAGTAGTATGTGTCCTACTACCATTCACCTACACCAAGAGAGAGACAGAGAGATCAAAGAGCCTTTAGTTTAATGACATTGCCATTAGCTGGAGCTTCCGGACAATAGGCAAGAGGACTGACACGGACTAGACCCGGATGAAACTCACATTCGACATGTCGATCATGCTCGTCTGGCACGTGGGGCACGCGTAGTGGCCGGAGTGCAGCAGCTGCTCGAAGCAGGGCCGGTGCAGCAGGTGCCCGCAGTCCGGGATGTGGCACGGGATGCGGGACGTGTGGATGTCCTCCAGGCACACGGGACAGTTCGACCGGGACACGTTCTCTACGCACTGCGGGACATAGTAAAGAAAGAAGGAAAGAATGAATGAATGAAAGAAAGAAAACATTTATTCGCTAAGCATATAGAAAATGAGTTATTACATAAGTTAAAAGCAACGTGTATGCTTTGTCATTATTTGACATGCGAATTTTGGTGCAGTGCAAGATATTAATTATAATCTATATATTAATACGTGAGGCAAAAACTTTGTATCCCTTTTTACGAAAATTGCGCGGACGGAGGAATATGAAATTTTCCACACTTATAGAGAATATAGTGAAGAAGTGAGGCTTATAAAATCAAAGGCAGCTAAATCTAAGTCTGTCAAATATTCAGGTAAACTACAAAAATCGGCCCTAAATACGTCATTACGGATCCTCCTGATCCATTGAAGTACTGCTCTTGCTTGGGCCAGTGTTAGCAACATTTCCGGTTTGAGAAGCTGAAATAACTTTGTTCGGATAGCTACGATATTCTATATTTTAAAGCAGATTTATAAAGAATGAGAATATTACTAATAATCTGAATTTTAAATGATAAAACTTCGTTTATTAGTACTTAGTACTGAGTAAATATAAAATTTTTGTAGGTGGCGTTGAAGAAGCTAGATTTTCAGATTTTTTGACAAACAATTTTTTTATTTATCTTAATAAAAAGTATCCTATGTTACTTCTAATACCTCCAAGAATATGTGTACAAAGTTTCATGATGATCGGTTGAGTAGTTTTCGCGTAAAAGCGTAACAAACAAACTTACATTCACATTTATATATTAGTAGGGATAGGGATGTGCAGAGAAATGCGCGCCCAAAATACATGCAACCGTTTTAATAATATTATCAATAGATGGCGTTGCTCATTTTCTGAATCGCGCTCGTATTATTAATAGAAAGGACTTAAGGCACTAATAGGATCTATGTATTGATGTGTTGTAAAAATGTTGTTATAAAAAACACATATTTTTTGGGGGCGTGTCTTGTAACTTCGGTTATAAGCAGAGAGCCTGTATAGTATGGAATATGGACGCGGGAAACGTAATTATTTGTAGGCAGACGAGCACACGGCCCACTTGATGATGAGTGCTGACAGATAAAGTATTTTTTCGTTTTTAAGTAGGTGAAAAAATGGGGGCGCCAAAAAATAATTTATTCTCAAAGTGGGCAGTAGACAAAATAAGTTTGGGAGTCCTTGCTATAGAGAGACAGCCAATTTTAAACATCTAAATTTTGTTTTGACAATCCTGACATCAGAATGAATATCAGACAAATACTTTAGGGACTACTGCTTTTTTTTTCCTACAGTATAGGTAGCCTTAAGAGGCTATTTCAGCTTTGCTAACATGTAGGTGAGGTCATGGGGCTCAAACTGGAGTGTTGCTGACACTGACCCTTGCAAGAGCTGTGCTTCGCAGAATCTACCAGAAGACCGGAAACGCGACCCACTGAGAAGATCCGGCGAGAAACTCACTGGGCTGTGTCTATGGGTTAATTCGCTCGTCGAGCCCTTCGTCGCAAGACGGGTTCGGCGAGGGCGGTGATTGGTGCTTGTGAGACCTAAAAGCACTGTTAATGGATTTTTGGAGGATTACTGCACTCAGATTAGTTTTCAATTGACTCACCCTATGTCCGACCCTTTGCAACTGAACAGGCAGGCACATGTTGCAGCGTTCACAATGGAAGAACCTATCGCGGCCTCCTACACGACATATGCCGCATCCGTCGCAGTGATACTGCTTCTTATCTTCATCATCAAACAGGTTGCAGATCAAACAAGTGTACTGTAATATTAAGATATTGGTAGTTCAATCAGTACATTTACCAGTACTCAATAATGAAATTAAGTGAATATGATGGACGGATCGAAGACACAGTCATTACAAGTGCTAAAACTAGTGGATAATAAATTGCCGTCTACCACTGAGGATATTGCTCAAATATTGTTGGTTCCCCAACGCTATAACCTGTCCTTTTTTAAACAAGGCTTGTGGAGAGTATTAAGCAGCAGGCAATTGCTTAACTCTGCCCCTGGCATTGGTGACTCCCATGAGCAACGGTGACCACTGACTATCAGGTGGGCGGTAAGCTCGTTTACCTACACGAGCAATATTTCATTTCATTTTCTTTTGTAATGGCGGTCCTTTTTGATTTCGCCAAAGTCAAGTTTTATAGTCTGTGGTTTTGATTATGCTCAGCTGATGTCTTTTGGTGAAGTTTGGATTCTTTTTTGTTGGGTGGGCTTCGTGATTGCACAAGGTCACATCAATTTTAATTATTATTATTTTACAAAGTAATCAACTGTTGAATTACTAACCTAAANCGGGTCATCCATGATTCTTACCTTTTAATAATATAACAAACACAATATATTTACACTCACGGCACAACAGATATATACCAACACCAACACGAATCAGTAGCGCAAGTCAACAGCAATTTAAACAAATAATATTAATTAAAACACCGGGAAACTTCGAAGACACTTGTGTTCACACTCGACGTCACCCGAAGAAAAAAAACCACGAGCAATAAAAAACATTGTTTAAAGAAGAATAATTCACTGTCTGTAAACAAAAAAAAAAAAAAAAAAAAAAAAAATATTTGTTACATGATGTTATCAAAATAAATAAAGTAAGTGTGTTTTAATTAACATCTTCACTATCTACAGACGTTTTATGTACTTGCCAAGGTCTTACAGTTAACTCGATTTATTTATGACATTATTTGTTTAATGTGTGATGTACGTCGGGTAAACTACAAGTTATTGATTCTCCACTGCAAACAGGGCATTGAATTCTAATTTCAATAGGGGTATTGCTTTTTTTGTCTTTACACAAACATGAAATATGTGTGATTTTATATATTAATAGAAATGAATCTCCATTTCCTGCTCAACTATATGCTAATTTTACGTAGATCTTATACCTGATAGACAGCAGGTTTTAAAAATAAAATCTTGGTAGACGGGTGGTTTATTATAACTTAAGTGGTGTTAATTGGTTGAAGGAGCCCATAGACATCAGATGAAACATGAGGTCACATTTGAATTCTATAAGGTCTGTCCAATCCTTTAAACTGAAGTGCATGAATTCTTAACACCAGATAGTGATAGTGGTAACTTTTTATTTGAGTTTATAATATGTCCTACTACTATTATATTAAGTAGTCTATAGTTCTCCCATCCATGTCTTCTTCGGTCAAACTCTTCTCCCTCTATCTTAACAGCTTTCTAGTGCTTCCTTTTGACAATTTAACAAAATGTTGTTGAATGAATTTAAGCTGTATCCTGCTTTAGAATGTATTGATAGGTTCAGTAACATATGCATGAACAATATTTGTTCAAGCTTCAGTTCTGTACTTGCTCTAAGTGGCCAAGCAATCGTGTTTATAGGGAACTACAGGCTTAAATGACATATTATTACATTTTGGTACATTTGCATATCTTATACCTTTAAACAAGCAATTCTTGTATATTAATACAGTCAAAACCGTTTACTGCGACATCGTTTAATACAACATGCCGGTTATAATAACCAAGAACAAAGGTCCCGGCTGAATGCCATATGACCGCCTTATTAAAAATATTGCTTTCTACGACATTGGTAATAACGACATACCTCATAAAACGACCACATTTAACTAATATTTCGGAGAATCAGATCTGTTAAAACGACCAGCTAAGCTGTATTGTAAACAATTTGAATAGGTATCCACATTTGTCTTCAATGGCTTTTAAAATCAGGAAAGAAAACAATAGGATTTAGTTTAGTGTAGGGTCTTTTCTAATTCTTAGAAACAAAACACGTGCATGCGGTAGTCATAGCCCGCTTCTTCATATCTCTTCAGTTAGTTTGTTACTTATCTATACACAAGACGCACCAAAACTTTGTGGAGTTTTTCGTGAAACTTTCAAAATGTCGCAAAGAAAAAGAAAACAAATTACTTAATATTGAAGAAAAATCGCGTATTATGTAAATATATTTTTCCAATAATTCCCTATCGATTTGTTTGTACTTGCACGATACACATTAAACATTACCGGTTGTTACGACTATCGGTTTTTACGACTGAATATGAGCGTCCCTTCGATGTCGTTATAACAGATTTTGACTGTATATATATAATCTGAATCTCTGAAACGGCTCCAACAATTTTCATAAAATTTAGTATACAGGGGATTTCGGGGGCGATAAATCGATATAGCTACGATTTATTTTCAGAAAATGTTGTTTTATTCGTGTTTTCAATAATTAACTCTTCCCAACATCTATTGGCGAATAATATTATTTTTCTTAATTGAGGGCAACTAACCGCTTTAAAGACACAACAAGATGGCGTTATAAAAAAAAAACTGAGCAAAGCTCGGTCATCGTCTAGTTACTCAAATATGTTTGGCATCCTATTAACAACTTCTAAATATCACTGTTACATCTCACGAGTTTAAAGCAACATTACCTTTCCAAACCTAACTCCACAGTTCTGGCATTCTGGCTGCACCTTTTGTCTTGTGTCACACTCGGTGCATATCAGCTCTGTAACAGTCTTCCTATTGAAATAGTGTTGTTCGTTTTCATCATGACAGTAACGGCAGATGTACACTTTGTTACAGCATGGAGTCTAGAAAGCAGATTTGTTTTTATTATTAGTTCTTTGTTATTGGTTTTGGTGATGCGTAAGAATATTTATTTGTTTATATTTCAACCTCAAAAGATATATTTTGTAATGTAGTGAAATGGTAAGCATTATTGCCTGTCTCTAAAGTGGTTAAGCCAATCTGAATGCATATTTTGATAATGCAATAAGCTTAGTCCAATATTTAGTGTTCTTTTCATTTACATCAACAGACAAATCATTTTTAAAGCGCGTAATTATTGGACATATACATGAACACGACTGGAGAGAATTAAATCAATGCTTCGTCTAATGCTTTTGTTTTCTGTACATTTTTTTTATTTAGAATAAGGATCACGGCCAAAATCGGAGGTTCGTTGACTTCACTTTGTTTTCGTATTTTCGCATTTCACCATCTCGAGATTCCTACGTGACATTTATAATTAGAATCTAGAACGCGTCTTTTGTACCCCGCGGTGTTCTAGCTGAAATATGTGTGTAGTATATGAATTTATACATCGCAATTAATATACTAACTCACCACAAACTTCGCTCGCCGTTTGTAATGAGCACAGCCTATGCGTTTTTCACCGTTTTGTTCAGCAACTGTGGAACTATCGCCGTTTACACTTTCTGACTTTTCCTTCGACATTATGTAGTCTGGAATACAAACCAATTACCTTTAATAAAAGCTCAAGGTCTACACACGTTATACACTATTGATTCTTGCAATAATTTCATTGAATGAGATCCTAAATATCACTTAGGTTTGGTCATTGGTATCGATGTTGTCATGATTGTCGTGAAATTTAGGTTGTTAATATGTACGTTCCAGGAGGAAAATAAGTTATTTAATGTTTTACGGTGAAACAACCGTATTTCAAACGAATTAAGAGCGAAAGAGCTACTAAAAAGGTAGGTATGTTACAAATATCAAATATGACTGACTCACTTCTTACTGCTTTTCGGAATCGTAAACAGTCAGGTTACTGCCAAATGCCAACTTGACATTTCACTGTGGTGACGTTGTTAATTTGTGTCATTAACTACTGTCAGTGCTTTGTTCTTTTATCTTCAAATGCAAAAAATCTACTTAAAATCGGTACGTTTATGTATTCATTTGAGATTGTATCATGGGGTTCAATGATATGAATCAAAACAATCCCAATGGAATATGTGGTTTAAAAAATACCTACAGGAATGAGTGGTAGTAAGCCAAATGCGCTAATCTCTACGTCCGCGTAGTTTAATTAAAAGTAAAAGTTATTTTAAAAGTGAAACTTTTTTACTCATTCGCATGGGGAGCTCATTCGCAGAGCCGGGTGGTTCAAGGCAGAAATGATTACTAAAAAGGCCCTACATTGAGCTTTGTTTCGGTATGAACGAGATGACGGTATCATCTCAAATCACATGTCACCAATCTCCAGTGATTTTAGTTTGCCCACCTGTCCTGGTGTAACTGGAAAGGTCTCTGTCTCTGGGCCGCAAGTAATCCCTCATTCATAAAAAAAATTGTTTTAGTAATGCGTTTCGGTTTAAAGGGTGGGGCAGCCGTTGTAACTATACTGAGATCTTAGAACTTATATCTCAAGGTGGGTGGCGCATTTACGTCGTAGATGTCCATGGCCTCCAGTAATTCCTTAACACCAGGTGGACTGTGAGCTCGTCCACCCATCTAAGCAATAAAAAAGAAATAATATAGGTTCCAGCCTGGACGGGCTTGCGGTACCCTTGCATTACTAAAGGAGAATGCCCATTGTAGTATGGAATTTGGTTTCAGTTTGTGCTCTCATGTAACTTAACTCATTTTGTAGGGTTTAATATGTTTATTCAATTATAAAAAAAATTAAATCTCTCGTTCGCCGGATTTGCTAGTAAAAGACCAATGAAGTTTTTAGAATTAGGTTATTTTTTGTACAAGTCAGCAGTGGATATTTTTTGATTATGCTGAATTCCTAAATACTTAAAAACATACGTATAAAGTATTTTATTAATGAAAACATGTATATAGTATAAACTTATTTAGCTAGCATAGTATTGTGTGGCTAGGGCCACTACGTCCATTCGTGAAGTAAAGGTTGCGGAACTATTACGGAAATTCAAAATAAAACAAAAATAGACATAAAATAATTTATTTCTCATATTGTGCAGATGTATCATTTTACCTAACCCAGCCCAGCCTAATATAGACACAACAACCCACAGTTCGATTGCCAACGAGATAGCTGTAGTAATAACCATGCATTAATAGTATTAGCAACGTTTTCATCACGATTGATTAATAAGTACGTATGATAAATAAATTCATTCTGCCCCCAATATGCCTGAACTTCTGCCTAACAAAATAGGAAACGAATAATATGATCGAAGCACACGATATAACTCAATCGGAAACATGAAAAACCGCGTTAGTAAATCAAAATATTATTGTTAGGTAGGTACTTGTCAAATGTTAGTAGCAGTAGTAGTTGTATTTTTCCAACTGGAAAGGCAAAGGTATCATACCATACATAATCTGTTATATTTTTTTTTATAAAAAAGTATAAAAGATATAAATATTTTGCCAATTGAATTAACTAATTTAATTTCATGCCAATTGGTTCATGTCTCAAATTAATCAACTTCATTGCATTTCACTAAATATTATCATTTTTTTAAAAGATTAGGCTCTATGAATTAATACCTTTGCCTTTTCATTGGGAAAATTGAAGTACTACTAGATAGAAGTTTTTAAATTACTAATTGTTTTAATCTTCTATATCCGGCGAAGTTATAACTTAATATTTTTGAGGAAATTGTTAAAAATAAAAACTTAATTTTTAATATATATTTGATCGTAGCACAACACGAAACCAAAAATGGGCAATCTCCTTTAAGATGGTTGAGTAAAGGGTATGGTTATTATGGGTAAATTCAGGGAATGTACGAGCAATTAGTAGTTTCTCGTGATCCATAGCATTAATCATCGAGATATTCATAAACTGTAGCCTGAAGCCGACCTTGATTTCATTGTCAAACCTTGCACCGATTGGCATAAGATGTGTTCAGGGGGAACTATATCTCGAGTGATTTGAAACTTCGATTACTTCTCCCATCATTTCAGGCAATAAAACAAATGCAGCTTACGTAATAATTTTTTATTTAAATATACAACATGGTTTTAAAACTATTCAATCGAATAAGTCTATGTGATAGAATAATAATAATAATTAAATTCTGCAATTCACTTCACGCCAGTTTTCACAGTACACCCATTTTCGTTCACTCATTCAGTCTTTTCACTATAACGAAGTGCTACATGGACCTAATTAATATACGTGGCTTTGATTTGAATCCTAAAAGTATCAATATCAATCAACCATTGCGAGCCCTTAAACGATCATTTATTTACCGAAATTTCATGATCATTTTTTAAATATAACATTTCTGTATTGTGAAGATTTTATATGTGTTAATACGATTATCGAAATTGTAAATACGACATGCCGTGTTTAATCATATCATTGTATTTAATAAAGGGATCATTTTCATTCATATTCTGTAGTCCTTATTTTGACAGATATCACCAACGTTGCCAATATCCAGAATTGATGTTGGGCCAATAGGATGAAGTATTGGTACGAATATCGCCTTTAGATTAGTTCCAAACGTTTTCGATAGTATTATTGTATAGAGTAGAAAAAGGATGTGAAAAATCTATTTTTTTTTTCTTAAATATATTAAGAGATATGATATAGTAAGTAACTTCTGTTTTCGTTCTGAACTACATACGATAATTTTTTTTTTTTTAAGTTTCGTTAAAGTAGGTAACTTACAAACAAAATTCGTGTTACTTAATATATTCTACAATATTTTCGACAATTTGTATTAAGAGGTGCCTGCCTATTTATTCCCTTTGCCTTGGAATCCTATTTCGTCCGAGCAAAGGGATATTGAATTTAATATTTCTGGTTCTATAAAAACGAACCAATATCATCACCTCTCGTGTTTCAGCAAAGTTTATACCGAGAGTCCTAAGATATAAGATATCACAATTAATTTTCATTGTTTTAGAATAGTCATCTGAAAGTCTAACGGCCATTGTGTTGATCGTGTTAAGTACAAAACATTATTAACGAGTACTTTACCTTGAAAAAAAAAACTACAACGTCCATTCTGCAGCTTTCTCTCTCTCTATTACCAGAGTGCTTTAAGCGTGTGTTCAAACAAGCTTTTTTGTAGCTCCCACATGTATGTTTTTTTCGCTCCCACATGTATTTATTTACATATATTTATGGCGTTATCGCTAACAATCATGCCATTTCTGCCATTACAAACTATTTATTATAGGCCGTTAAGCAGTAAATTTAGATAACATTTCATCTCTATACAACAAGATTCGTACTGTCAGTTTGACAGTTGACATTTATGATAACTACATTAATCACGAGTACTTTTGTAATAAGATTGAGGTATAGATATTTGTTGAACCAAGTACATGTCAAATTATGTCCATAAATTTAAAAGTATAACATCTACTCATGTCCTCACAACAAACCCACTAAAAATTGAATGCTGTATTCGCAAAAAGTAAAAAAAAATCTTTCCAAAGATGCTAATCAATTATGAACAAAAAATGTAAACAAAAAAAAAACTCATACAACTTTTGTACAACATTTCTTTAAGTTTTATCTACACAATATTTTTAAATAACCTTAACCTATTAAACATGTAACGTGGTCGTGTTTATTAACATCTAGACGTGCGCCATTTTGTTTGAAAATCTCTTTAACAAGATGGCGTCCATATGCGGGAACAGCCGATCCTTTTACTAAGATGAGTTTAATGCTCCTGTTTATGCCTTTTCCTTTCTTAAATTTTTAAGTTCATACTTCTGGGCGACAGACGCGCTACCGAACTATTGAAGTAACAATACAGATATTCTTCTGTTGGGACTCTTGTCAAATTGGCAAGAAATCGAGTATTAATTTTGTATTGGTACTTATTTTCATTTGACCAATATTTACTAAACAGAAGCATTTATTCGTATAGTCTATCAACCGAACCGCTATAAACATTCTACGACCTATAATTATACACAGGCACGTAACTCTCTCTCAGATTTATTACAATGTTATTTTAAGATGGATTTAGACTGAAAGGTTCAAGTGAGTTTTTAATTTGTTTTTTCTATAGCACTGACCAAAATTGAAATTTAGTTCAAAAAAAATAAAAAAATATACCGATCGTGTGTGTGCTAACAGCATAAAAGTGGTTTTATACACAATCAAAAATGGAAACATGGACATTTCAAGATGCATAACGACTTGCCCGAGACGCCACGTTGTCTATGAAGTTAACGAACAACAAAGAATATTATCTTCTACATACATTTTACTGGAAATTAAATCCGATTTAAAAAAAAAGTATATCAATTTTCAAAAAGTTACTACGACTATTAACTTCCCGTTTTATTTAATCTAGCAACATTACCCATGGATTCGGCTACGTGCCTGCACTAAAGGGACCGGTTTAGCCGTGACAGGAATCACTACCTTAGTGTTGATATAAATAAAGTCTCTTCTTCTACTTTGATACGATTATCTCGTGTTGTCGTTCTCAGAGTGCTTGTGTTGGGGCGATTTGCAGGGCACGTTACGGTTCTTAAGAGGCGACTTGTACTCCCAGCCTTCTTCGATCCTGGGACTGAAAAGCTGAAATGTGAAAATCCCAAATTAGTCCGAATTTTGACTGAGTATTCGAATATTGCGTTCTAGTCACGTAATAACGGTTATAAATTCGAATATCGAATTGAAGCCGTCAGTGCAAAAGTGGCCAAACCTTACCATAGTTAGTATGGAGATATCGAGGTTTGAATTTAATTTTACGCTGCTTTGTACGCAAAAACAATACGCGCGAAAATAATGTTTACAAAGCCGTCTGTTATCTATGGGTGAAACTATGGATAGGCCGGTTTTGCGTCAAAATTTATTTTATTTCAAATAAATTGAAATATAGAAGCACCAATCTTGAAAAATTGTGGGTTAGGCCACTTTTACGCTGATGGCCTCAATTCAGATGTGTCGTTGCACAATAAACTGGGTTTTTTATTTATTGCTTAAACGGGTGGATGAGCTCACGGCCCAAATGGTGTTAAGTGGTTAGCGGGGCCCATAGACATCTACAAACGTGAATACCACCACCTTGAGATAGGTATGGTATAGGTATAGGTATGGTGAGATATGAGTATTAAGCGGTAGGCAGCGGCCTGGCTCTGCCCATGGCATTGCTGAAGTCCATGAGCGACGGTAACCACTCACCATCAGGTAGGCTGTATGCTCGTCTGCCTACAAGGGCAATAAAAAAAAGAAAGATATGGTGGCAGGTTTCGGTTCGAAGGGCGGGGCTGCCGTCGTAACTATACTGAGACCTTAGAACTGATATCTCAAGGTGGGTGGCGCATTTACGTTGTAGATGTCAATAGGTTCCAGTAACCACTTAACACCAGGTGGGCTGTGACCTTGTCCATCCATCTAAGCAATAAAAAAAAAGAGTTCTAAGGTCTCAGTATAGTTACAGTGTTTGAGTATCTGAACATGAGACTGAGCCACGCACTTCACTGTGCCACTGATCGACTAAAATGGCTACAAATTACAAAAAATGAGAAATAAAAAACAAAAAAACTAAAAAACACATTTTATATAAAATTCAACAAAAAAATAGAAAATAAATTTTACTAAATTTAAATTAAAAATAATGTAAAAAAAATAATTGTATTGTAAAAAAAGCGTGGGGTGCTTTTTAAGATATTATTGAAATAATAATTCTTCTACTCATATCTGTCAGAAAAATATTTACAACTAATAACACCATGCACACCACGTTTTTTTTTAATATTTTTTTTTTCATTATTTTCGATTTAAATATATCAAAATTTATTTTCTATTTTAGTTGAATTTTATATAAAGCTGTTTTTTAGTTTTTTTTTTAAACTATTATTTATTTTTAATTTTTTACTTAATTTTTTTTGCAAATTGAATAATGGCATAATCTTATCAAATTAGTCTATTGTCATCGGTCCTCGATAAATCTACAAAGTTTGAATGAAATCTGTCCGTTTAAAGTGGGTCAAAATCGCGCCTAAAGGAGTCAGTTACAAGCATACATACAAGTAGTTACCACGGCTGTCTTGCGTTTCGAACCGAAACGCATTACTGCTCCACGGCAGGAATAGGCAGGGCGGTGGTACCTACCCACCCACCAGTAAGCGAGTAGCGTACCTGCGTCTGCCACTTCTCCCCGCTGGCCTCGCGGTGCTTGACGGCGTCCCGCTGCGCCTGCTCCACGTGTCGCTTGGCGAGCGTGGCGGCGTCGCAGTCGGCGGCGCGCAGGGCGCACGTGACGTGGCGCCACACGCGGCGCGACTCGTGCGGCAGCTGCCGGCTCACGGGCGCCACGCGCTTGCGCCGCGGCTTCATGTTGCTCACTTCGAACAGGATCTCCGACCGCTGAGGAACGAACGCTCAATGTCCGGTCATCGTTCGGCGAGTAAATTAACCCACCCAAGTTGAAGTAGTCGTGGCCTAAAGGATAAGACGTCCGGTGCATTCGTGTTGAAGCGATGCACCCGTGTTCGAATCCCGCAGGTGGGTACCAATTTTTCTAACGAAATACGTACTCGACAAATGTTCACGATTGACTTCCACAGTGAAGGAATAATGTGCCTGAGTTGCTTATCTATTATTAATTTATATGTATTATCTATGGACTAGAGGGGCTCCGACAGTGGCATCACTCGATACGAGTACACCAGGCGTCTCGTCCTTTGAGCCACGACAAGCAGCACTCACCCCTGAGTCGGTCCACCTCCCATCCATCCTGGTGTTCCACTCGCCCTGCGCGGTGTAGTACGGCTTCTTCTCGGCGCCGGCGAATATCTCGCAGGTGACTCTGTGCTTCTTGCCGCCGTAGAATGGCTTCGTTAGGAACTCTATGTTGGCTTTGTGGCCCGTTTGCACGCACTCGATGACCACAGAGCCACCCAGTTCGATCCACGGTACCGTTAATATTGATCTGAAATTATTAATGACTATGTATCGTGGGATAGCTCAGGTGTTTTATAAAGTACTGGTGGTGGGATCTCTTGTGAGTCCGCACGGGTAGGTACCACCGCCCTGCCTATTTCTGCCGTGATGCAGTAATGTGTTTCGGGTTGAAAGGTGGGCGATGTCTAAGAACCATAAGACAGTGTATTGTTGATTTCAATGCTATTGCTACCCCGGTAAGAGCTAGAGTAACGCCATCTATCGCCGGGTAGCCAAAACAACGCCATCTATTGTCAAATAGCGGAAACACACATCCAAGCTACTCGACTTGCCCAGAATGTACTCGATAAATCTAGGGATGTCGTCTCGACTATAAAAGCTTTACAGAGATGGCACGAAGCAGTCAGCAATCGGATCTATTCGAAGCGAAACAGTGAACGCATCACCTGAAGCGAAGCGGAAGAAGTGAATTGAGACTTTTAAAGTTTTCTGTGAGTGTTCTAAGTGATAAATACAGTTTCAATTTATACTTCGGTAGAATTTTTATTTATCCCGAACCCTAGCGCGTAACATTATTACCACATAAGCTTTCCACATGGACATAGGCAGCGGCAGAATAACAGCGATAGTTTCAGCTATCACAAAGCTGAGCCGCGGCCTTTTTTATCCCCACTGTCAGTATAATTAATATATTGTAATATTGTTTAGATAGAATTAGAAATTTATGTCATATTAATTGAAAAGTTAATTGTATTGTGGAGTAAATAAATGTAATTATTATTATTTTAGGAAACATGGTCGAAATTCTCACCTGCCGTAACCATTGGGGAATGTCAAAGTGTACTCCTCTCCGAGATCGATGAGCGTGACCGTGCCCTTCCCGATGTTGTGGACTCCTATGGACAGGCCGAGGAACTTGCTCTTCGTCCACACCCAGGCCTCGAACTGGATGCGTTTGTTGACGTGCTCCGCGTAGAAGGCCGATATGGGGGGATGGTGGGACACTTGCTCGGCTACGAACGACAGCTGGTCCGGACTGCACCACGGCACCGGACCGTCCCCTACCTCTTGCTGCGAAATACAGTTACATCTCAACTATCTATATCTATACTAATATTATAAAGAGGAAATATTTTTTTTTTTTTTTATTGCTTAGATAGGTGGACGAGCTCACAGCCCACCTGGTGTTAAGTGGTTACTGGAGCCCATAGACATCTACAACGTAAATGCGCCACCCACCTTGAGATATAAGTAAGACCATATAAGCGTAACCAGGCGAGTAGGTGAGCTCACGGGGCTCAAACTTGACGTTGTTGCTAACACGAACCCTAGTAAGAGCCCAGTTTCGCAGAATCTACCATCGGATAGAAAACGCGACCCACTGAGACGATCTGGCGAGAAACTCAGTGGGCTGTGTCTGTGGGTTAATTTACTCGTCGAGCCTTTCGTCGCAAGCGACGGGTTCGACAAGAACTTTGACCGGTGCTTGAGGTACCTAAAAGCAGCGTTAATGGATCGGGAGGATCCGAAATGACGTGTTTTGGGCGACCTCGACTGTTTACCATTGGGTCCGCAGTATCGGGAATGATATCTACCGCTGAGGATTCGTTCTTGGCCTTGTTCGAAGGGCGTTTTTAAATCTTTAGTATTTTCTCACTGATGTTTTATCTTTATTTTCTTTTTTATTGCTTAGATGGCTGGACGAGCTCACAGCTCACCTGGTGCTAGGTGGTTACTGGAGCCCATAGACATTTACAACGAAAATGCGCCACCCATCTTGAGATGCAAGTTCTAAAGTCTCAGTATAGCTACAACGGCTGCCCCATCCTTCAAACCGAAGCGCACGCATTGCTTCATGGCAGAAATAGGCAGGGCAGTAGTACCCACCCGCGCGGACTCAAAAGAGGTCCTACCACCAGTAAAATAGTGCCACTCACTATATCACTATATCTCACTTCGGGCTTACGTATTACCTATCTGAGAGGTTTCAGCAGCAACTCACATCCGCGCGTCAAAAAAGAAAATCCCTTACCTTATCATTGGGGTTATCGAGTGCCCCGTCCAGGTCCCAGTGACAGCGGAACACCTCCCCCAGTATGGGGTTGTAGGGTTTCTTGGCGACTTGCGACTTGCGACCGGCGTGATACGAGCTCAGGTACCAGCGGATCACTTGCACCATTCTCTCGCGCGGCGTCGGCAGCTCTACTATCCTGGAAGTTAGAGAACGTAATCTTTACGAATTAGCATATAAAGCTGGGGATTTTAGTGTCCATTATCCACACCACATAAACAAGGTCAGGGGTCGGTAACAATGCGCCCTCGCTGGACTAATGTTAATGTATGACAGCCAGAGCGATTTACTTACTCTTGTCAAACGGCGATATACAGCAAGTAGTCAGTTGAGTTTAGGATTGTGCATAGATTAGCAGTTTGCTAACCTTGAGCGTATCTAATAACACGCACGTATTTTTTGTTAGTGTGTGATCGTATTTCTAATAGACCACGCGTAGACCGTGCATTTAAAACTACCAAGTAATCCGAAATAATTATTTTCTTTCAATACCGAACAAAGCTTAATGACTCACATTTAGATAATTGTTTAAGGACCGGGAACTCTAAATATATCTCCAATAACATATAAGAAATCAGCTGAAAATATGGACACCCAAGTTTCACACTGAATTATATGTATCATTATGTATGACACCAACAAAATAAAATTATAAAAAATCTGTTTTTTTTTTAATGCCTATTGATACCTGTTGATTATCTGTAAAATATGCGCCCTCGGTGATTTTCAAATTTAGTATTGCGCCCTTAAGGACAAACAGATTGCCGACCCCTGACCTAGGTCATCGTTATTCATTCAATATCTGCAGATCGTCAAGTCCCACATACCTGCGCGCCCCCTAGACGCGGAGACCTCGCAGAAGGTTTGGCCAACAGCCCGGACAAAAAAATCATCATAGTTTGTTTTAAGTTTTAATTATCGTTGTGACTTGTGTACTGGGGGTAGGACCTCTTGTGAGTCTGCACGGGTAGGTACCACGGCCCCGCCTAGTTTTGCCGTGACGCAGTAATGCGTTTCGGTTTGAAGGGCGGGGCAGCCGTTGTAACTATACTGAGACCTTAGAATTTATATCTCAAGGTGTGTGGCGCATTTACATTGTAGATGTCTATGGACTTCAGTAACCACTTAACACTAGGTGGGCTGTGAGCTCGTACACACACACACAACCTAAGAAAAGAATAAAATAAAAAAACTTTAGCGGTTTCTTTTTCTCATACCTCCAGGCACCTGACTATAATAATGTTATCCACAATATATCCTCTGATACATCTTAAGATTTATCTTAATAAGTATAACTGGTGTTCGTTTAGCGATCGATGTTCGAACATAATCACTGATATCTCACTCAAAAGCTTACTGACGTTTCGTAGAAACAAAATATCAAAACAAAAATCGTTTAGAGCACTAAAGCATTTCGATTAACAAGCAGAAGAGAAAATTGTGCTAAGTGTGCTTAGGACGAGTTTTTTAACGTTCTCGATAGCGTAAAAGTTAACTCAGTACGTATGCAGCTGGAACGTTTGCCTACGTTTGCCGCTAGGGGCGCTGTTTATTACGCTATCGAGAATGTTAAAAAAGACAGCTTAAGCACACAGTTCATTTTGCGCGTACATTTAAGTGTAGATGTGGCGGAAGAATTTTGTTCATACTAAATTTACTTTATAAATTTGTTCATACTAAATTTACTTTATAGATTTCTTTATAGTAAACTTACGTTATAAATGTGTTAATGCTAAACTTACTTTATAAATTTGTTAACACAACTTACTTTATAAACTTGTTCATCCTAAATTTACGTTATAAATTTGTTCATACTAAACTTACTTTATAAACTTGCTCATACTAAACTCACTTTATAAATTGGTCGGGATGAGCGAACGAATCCGCGTACATTTCCAACAGCGATCGTCTTTCCAGTATAAAAGTCGGGAGCACAACCTGTAATGTTACATTATACTTCTTTTAACACCTATTTACTCTCATTTGGTATTAAGGGCGGACCGTACACACCGAAACATTAGAAGTCGTCGTGGCCTAAAGAATTAGACGCCCTGCGCATTCGTATCCAGCGATGCAACGATGTTCCAATCCGGCAAGTAAGTACCGAAATTTTTCTAATGAAATACGTAGGCACTTTTTTTTTTTTGGTCAGGAGGAAATCGCCGGACTTCCGCCCTCCCCTGGGGATGGAGGGCGGGGCATGTCGGAGTCGAACTGACTAAAACCTCCTGTCGCTCAACAACCCGCGTTCGAACCTCGCATGAGACAGAACCCATGAAAAGGCAAAGTGGGGAAAGTGAAGCGTTTAGTGCGGAGCACATCTCTCCCATCACCCTCGCCCTCGGGACGCCGGACGAGCGGTCGTCGGCGCCACGACCACCAGCCCTCTCGGAATACGTAGGCACTTAACAAACGTTCACACGATTGACTGCAACGGCGAAGGAATAATACCATAAAATATAATAAAAATTAAACCCGCAACATTATAAATTTGGTACGTATAATAATATAATAGGACGTTTCGTGAGCTCACACGGGTAGGTATGGCATGTGAAGCAGTAATGCGTTTCGGTTTGAAGGGAAGGGCAGTCGTTGTACTGTAAACAGCTGAAACCTTAGAACTCATGTCTCAAGGTAGGTGGCAGCATTTACGTTATAAACGTTTTTATAGGCTCCGGTACCTATTTGACGTCAGGCGGGTTGTGAGCTCTAATCTAAGCAATAACGCTTTAGATTAAAATATAGAAGTATAGAATCCGGATTCGACGAAATAGGCAGGAAATTACGGCACGCTACCACTGATATTATTAACCTACATTTTATAGGTACTTAAATACCCGTCAGAAAACACATTTTGTTTTGACTATAGCTCCATTTATGAACTAAAACTAAACCCGGGTGTAAATGTTATCGGATGACGACAAGTCCCAGTGTGACAAGACTATTATCATGTTAGATTACATGTATAATAAACTCTACATTTATATATAGTGCATACGGACCTTCGTGAGATCCATTCCGATCTTGACCTGCGACAGGAGATGCGTGACAACCGAGCCGTGGTTCTCCATCGATCCGAGGTCACTGTCCGATTCGTCCTCGTAGAGAGCTACGATAAATACATAATATTGACGTTTATCGAGTAGAAAAGAAAATAGAAGGAATCATATCGACAACATTTTTCTTCTATGGAGTATTGTGACCCTCACCATTCGGCCTCTTTCAACCGTAGCCCCCAGTTTGGGTTTGAGGCACATCTGTTTCGTTGTGATAAAAACGACATTATTATTTTCCCTACCCTATTCTAGTGACCTTGAGGGTCATACTAGATTCACCGAGCGAGTAGTAGGTGAGCTCACGGGGCTCTAACCTGACGACGTCGCTAACACTGGCCCTAGTAAGAGCAGTGTTTCGCAGAATCTAACACCGGATCGGAAACGCGACCTACTGCGAAGATCCGGCGAGACACTCAGTGAGTTGTGTCTGTGGGTTAATTTACTCACCGAACCCTTCCTCGCGAGCGACGGGCTCGCCGAGAACGGTGACTGGCGTTGTTGTCTATGGTCCACTTAATATCAGGTCGGCCGGCCATTGCAACATCAATGTCCACAAGAAAAAGAAACAATAATATAAAGATAATTCTCTTGCTAGGTCAGATGATAGCAAAGTCTCCCAGGTTGTAATTGTGTCTATGGGAAAACGATACTTGTCATGTCAAAAGGTGATCGTAGGCTGGTCTAATCAAGGCAATAAAAAAAACTGTAATTCCTCACCATCATAGTCGATCTCTCCATCTCTAGTGCGAGGCAGGTCGACGGTCGCGGGCTGCGCCGAGTCTTGCTCGGGCGTACCCTCCGCCGGATGATTCCTGCTAACGCTGTAACAACGATATTAATATATTAATTTGTTATTGCGCTCTTGGTCTAGAGTTATCAAGACGCCCAGGTTAAAACTGGGTAATGGATTGGCTACAAAATGAATAGCTCTTTGAAAACCAACCGACTGAATGTGATATATGTACCCCTATTTTAACGTTTAGATAAGAACAAACAAATTCTTCGTTGCAGAAATATCACGGTGTACGTGTTATAGTTTATTTAAAAAAAAGCGTGGGGTGCTTATTAAGATATTATTGAAATAATAATTCTTCTACTCATATCTGTCAGAAAAATATAACCACCAACACCAATAACACCATGCACGCCACGCTTATTTTACAATAAAATATATTTTACACTGTTTTCAATTTAAATTTATGTATTAAAATTTATTTTCTATTTTTTAGTTGAATTTTATATAAAGCGTGTTTCTTAGTTTTTTTAAACTATTATTTTTCTACCTATTCACTGATAGCCTAATCGGCAATGTGCGGCTCCAGATTCGCATGTAGCTCTTTGGCTCCTTAAATGCGGCTCTGCATTTAGCGCACTACCTATTTAGTGTAATAAAAATTTACTAAACAAGCAGATTTCGGCTCCCAATTCCTTTTTTTAATTATTGTAATGTTCGTATTTGACTCTTTAGCTAATAAGTTTGCCGACCACTGACCTAAAGGGCTAGGTGAGCTCAACCTGAGAGAATTTGTTAACACTAGCCCTAGCAAGAGCAGTCCTTCGAAGAGTCTACGACGGGATCGGAATAGCAACCCACTGAGAAGATCCGGCGAGGAACTCAGTGGGCTGTGTCTGTGGGTTAGTTCGCCAGTGGAACTCTTCGTCGTAATCGACGAGTGTACGTGTCATAAGTGAAATTCAATCGATTTCTAAGTTATAAGATAAATAAATTGATATAAGTCGTCGGTTAATGATATCGATTTTTTACAAAAAGTATTGGAATCCATATCTCAATGTCCAATTGTGGAGTCAATGCCACCCGCGCTTTAAGTGACGTCAAGAACAAGGGTGACTTATTCAAAAGCGTTCCATTAAAATTCTTTAAATATACACGAATAATAAAAATCTCATCTATATGTGTGTATATAAAAATGAATTGCTGTTCGTTAGTCTCGCTAAAACTCGAGAACGGCTGGACCGATTTGGCTAATTTTGGTCTTGAAATATTTGTGGAAATCCAGAGAAGGTTTAAAAGGTAGATAAGTATGAAAATGTTCAGAATTAAATGAAAATAATAATTTTGTTTTTCCTTTGATGTGTCTTCCGTCGGGCGGATTCTTTTTGTTTGTTTTATGTTTATTTTATACAAAAGCTTAGGTATTTTATTTATCGATTGAGGCACTACGAAGTCTGCCGGGTCAGCTAAGTAGTTAAATATAAAATCGAACAATAAAACAATACATAGAAGATTATTACTTAGTAAATATTGAGCTTTAAAATAGTGGATTTTTTTATAATACATACATACTTACAAGACATTTAACGATTTGTGACTATTAGAGTAGAAATACAAGTAAATAAAAGACATTGACAAAAAAAGATTTATAGGCGATTTATAGAAAATAAAACTGACAATATCATCAATGTAGTCAAAAACTTATATTATTGTAGATGGCAACAAAGTGACCGCCCAGAGACAATTATTGTTTTAGGGGTTTAAGGACTCCCTTAATTGTGGGTTTTTGGTCTCTGAATAAAAGCATGTGCCAAGTAATTGTGTATTAATGAATTACATATTAATCCTAAAAATTAACTAAGATATAACACTGGAGCAGTGCTTCGCAGAATCTACTAACGGATCGGTTTTGCAATGTATTAACCCTAAGAACGGCCGAGAGAGCTCCTAGCTTTCACACGTCAATCATTTTACATACGTAGGGGAATACAATGTAGCCTTCACCTTTAAATAGCAACTACAACTATGAATACCGAAGGCCACTTATTCGTTCTATTATTCGTTTATCAAGGCTCGAGCCTTGACCTCACACGCTCATTAGCCCGGCGACCGGGTCAAAATGTGATTTATATCCGCAGCTATCGAGTTGATATTTGGCATTGGGTATAATGATGTTAATTTTGTGGCGGGTCATATTGGCTAAGCTACCGATGTGAAGCAAGATTTGACTTTTGGTGTGCTGGACTTTCTTCTCGACCCGTGTATGTGGGTAAGGCACAATGAGCCTTCTGAGTTTCTCGAGTGAATCTTCTCAGTGAGTCGAGATTCCGATCCTGTGGTTAGATTCTGCGAAGTATTGCTTTTGGTAGGGCTAGTGTTAGCAAATTCCGTCAGCTTGAGCCCCCGAGCTCACCTACCCGGGTGTAGCTAAAATAGCATCTTAGGGTACCAGCGGACAGGTAGGGAAAAAGGCGCAATACCTACGTGTCAATTTTATAGTTTAACTAGCCGTATTCGCCCGCTTCGCTGGGCATTTAAAATTAGCATTATTATTTATTGTCATTATAATTAGAGAGTCCGACACTCATATAAATATTAGCCTATCCATTAAGTACATGTATTTTCTACATGGATACCAAGTTTCAAGTCAATCGGATGCAAGGTTCCGTAGTTATAACGGAACATCCGTAAAAACGACTGTAGATTTATATATTAGTATAGATATAGATTTGTTTCATAGCTCTACATCTGCTTGAAGTTTTTGCCTCTTGGGAATATGAAAAGTAGTGCTGGAGGAGAACAGTGTCATAAGATATTATACATCAGGAAAACTCCCATATCAGTTTTCGATCGCATCGACGATAGCGTTTAGTGATCCTGATTTGTAGCCCACCAATCGAATCTTGCTCAGCCATTGTTTTTAAAACACAGCTGGTCTTTGTTTCTTTGTCTCATATAGATATATATTTTATAAATGAAAATTCATTAAAGTATATATTATGATTTTGCGTGATTTTTAATTTTAAACGCAGGTTTTTGTTACGCCGTCTGTTTTTATCGAACCGTAAGAATTTTATTTATTGTCCTTCGAGGGAAATGAGAAGCGTATCTGACAGTGAGTAGTCAAAAGCACAGCGAAGACTTTGTCCACCCTTGAAAACGCTTAAAAAGTAGTTCAGTATTGTTTTTTTTATTTTCCCATGCACGTGTATCATTCTGCTAATTATCGTGTTTCTAAAGGAATCGAGTTTTCGATCTGACATTCCAAGACGAATAAAGTTATTTTTATTATACAATTGACTGACACGGTGGCGGAGCAGTTAGTGCCCTTGACTGTTGCGCCAAGGGTCGTGTGTTCGATTCCTAGATCGGGCAAACATTTGTGTGATTTAGATTAGTCCGCTCTTTGTCTGGCTATTCCATTCTTTTCTATCAGCCGTCATCTCAACACTCACTCCTCTCTCTCTCTCACATCGTCATTCTCACACTCTATCCATGTTTCTTCGGTCGACCTCTCCCCCGTCTACCTTGCACTACAATTTACATACATCTCCTGCATCTCCTCTCTACGCATCACATGTCCATACCACGCTAACCGTCCGCTCTTTAATTTGTCAATCACCGGTGTTATTTTCACACTTCCTCTGATTTACTCATTTCTTATCTTGTCCATTCTTGTTACTCCACACATCCATCTCAACATACGCATCTCTGCCGCGTGCACTTCTCTTTCATGCTTTACTTTCGTCGCCCAACATTCAAATCCATACAAAAATACATCTGACTTCAGTTCAGTTTTTTATTTATAACAAGATATGTTCAAATACATGTTGACAAATTATAGTTGTCTTATCTCTGAATTACATTAGGACGATGCGAAATCCGGAAACGGTTTACGAACACGCGTCCTTCATATCCTGAGGGAACTAAACGAAAACACAACCCGCCTTTATATCCTTTTCTATTTCCTCAAGGGTACCCATTTCCTGGGAAGATTCTTATAGGTAATAATTACAAAAAGCTGTTAGCTCCATGGGTCTCATGGGAGCATAACAAACAATTTATACGTATTAGCCTGACCACATTGAGCATGTATATAAAATTTTCATATTAGTTCTCTATTCGTTTTGTATTACTTCTACTCGATTCTGTGTCTTCATCGTGAAACTAGTTCGTAAAACATGGTTACTGCCATATTTTTATGTTAGGTTAGGTAGTCCTAATCCCTAAGTTTTAGGAAATATTGACAAAAGTACAAGGATTGAAGTGACAAGTGCAAAGATTCCTTACCTATTTGATTACGAGAACCTTCTAGTTGAGCATTTATTTTCTCAATTCATTCTCTCGATTTTTATTTCGCACAAGCGAGACCCGTTCGAGCTCTAACTATCGCTAATTGTATGAAAAGATTGTTTTCCGGAAACCGCACGTCATCTGTCGTAAATTGATGGGACTGTGAAAGAAACTCTCCCTGATGAGCCAACTACCGCACGGAGATTCATCACAACCGCATGAATGGTTTATGAACGCATAGAGAATAAACAAACAAACATACAAGCGATAATTGATTTTTATTTATGCAGATAGATTGGCAAATTAATGTGGATAGAGAATTCCACGAGAGAACAGAAATAAAACAAATATTTTTGTAATAATAGTCTTTAAATTTTCATTTTACCCAAGTCGTGCAAAGAGTACAGTTTTTGAGATAAAATTAAATTACTTTCAGCTGCAAAAACACTGGTAAATAAATGGCTCCTAGAGATATTTTTTAAACAACTTCAGTTAAGACTTTAAAACAGCGATTCCCAAACTATTTCGGGAAAGAGACTTCTCGTCCAAAATTAATTGAAACCTCAGACACCCTTAACCAAATAACTTTAAAAATCCTATCTCTAGCTTTTCGCTATTGATTTAAAATACTGACTAATTTAAAACTTTACGGTTGGATAAATTATCGTAAATGTAAATGGCATAAATCGACCCCTTTGGGAGTCTCTGCTTTAAAATAATAACATCTCCTTCGTCTTCATCAGCGATTTAAAGGCATCGCATGTATGGACGTCATCGTGGCCTAAAGTATAACAC